AATTTTGAAGGAAGACCTTTAATGAAAAGTAAGCTACACATGTATGACCTGAGTTTTAATATTTGTCGGTTAGGGAGAAGCCATCTTTTTTAATTGTATGCTTAAAGGAGCAGTACCAGATACCACCAGGTATTTGTTGACAGAACTAGGTTTAAAATTAAAAACACCCAAAAAGTGCAGAGGAAATGGCCCGATTATGGCTCCTATGGCCGGATGTTTCAGTCCTATTTTAGTCAAGGTCATATCAAAGATCAAATTAAGATACAGACTGAATATAAACAGATAATTGCTGAATGATTTAAATAGTGTACTTCTAATATATTAACAGGCAATCATGAAGCGTTCATTTTAAATCACAAAAATACAACTTTGACTAAAATAAGACCACAGCTAGCTGTATACTGCTATATAGGGCCTACATATGTATGTGAACTATGTGTTTGTTGTATGAACTATGTGTTTGTATATACTGTCCACAAAGTTACAATCAACATCTTATATATAACCTCAGATCAGGGGGTGCTGAAACTTCTCTGAGATTTCACACATTAATTTATTTTTTAAATTTGTGTTTTTTGTACTGTACCATGTCCAGGTTTTTTTTATCCAGATATACTTCCAACATCTTTATTTTTTTTCTTAATAATTTAAAAACCAGTTTTAGAATTTAATTTGCAGAAAAAAAAAATGTAACATTATTAAGAGCATATTAAATGGCTGGATGCATGGGTTCCACGTCAGCCGTATATGCTGATCAAGACCTAGGGCTATGGAAAATGACCGTAACTGGATCTGACCCATGTCATTGCTCTCAGTGATAGTTGTGGCCAAGAAAATATCTACTGCTGATTAGATCAGATTGCAATAGAAATGTAGTAGGAGTTTGTTAATTGTCTTTGAAGTTTTAATCTGATATGTTGATGCTGTTGTGTTTTTATTGTGAATCGGAGCCATGGTGGCTCAGTTAGTAAGACGTTGGCTCCCTAGCCTGGAGGTCCTGTGTTCACTACTGTATTGGACAAAAACATAGGTCCCATGTACACATTGGCATGCATGTAAATGATCCCTGGGTATTTGGTAATAATAGTAGGCCGTAGTGCTTCTGTCATGGAAAGTTTTCTCTCATAGCACACTGTATGGTGTATGCCTATCTTCATTAGCTCAGTCAGTGCAAAACAGTAGGACGTTATCCCCCATTTCATTTCATTTTTATTGTGAATCAAAAATACTCTACTCCATAATACCGTTTTGGACACGAACATAATATGCTTTTTACAGGTAATCAATTTTCTAGTGTTTGTTCACCTCTTATTGATTATAGTCTTGATACTAACAGAAGACAGTCTTGATCGATTCATAATTTTTAAAAATATAATCTATTAGCCTGCTCATTAAAGCATGAATGCGGCAGTAAAATGACAATAACCATTTTTCTGTTTTAACTCAATTACGAGATAAAATGTGTTATTTAAATAGTAATCTAAACAATTTAAAACAATAATTAAAAAAATAGGTAAAATATCATCTTGACCTCAGTGTTAAAGGGACAATAACACTCTTGCTGGCTTGAAAGCTCCAGAAAATAAATAATATCTCTATCTAAGTACTAGATGTTTAAGTGTCCTACCTGTTGTGTAAATTATCCATTACATCCTATTTTACTTGTCCAGAGAGTTTGAAAATATTTTTAAATCGAAGTTTCATTTGAAAAGGTTTACGTTAGACGTTTCAAACCATTATGTTGAATTTTTCAAAATTTCTAAATAAGGTGTGTTAAGATGAAATTTGTATCATCAATTAATTGGAATATTGTAAAATAGTACAATTTGTTGACCAGAATAAAGATTGGGACATATTATTCAGTTACAACAAGAGTGGTATTGAGCCTTTAATATAACAATAATGATGGCAACGTAAATACGATATAAGTAAAGCAAACTTTAGCTTGCACTAGCGTGCCCTGGTAGCTTGCACTAGCGTGCCCTGGGATAATTAAACCTACTTTCCTTTTGGATGGACAACTTTGTATCTTACTTTTAGTCTGCAGTGTTGTGCCTTTAAACTTGCTGGTAATTTAAAGCAAAAGTCAGTTCCAGGAGAGGGGTGTTTGCCCAGAACATTTTGAAATTTTGGGCTTTATTTGGAGCAATCTTAAAAGGTATAGGGGTTTGAGGTTTTCAGGTTATTCAGGCTTTAACTACATGAAAATTTTGAGATTTTGAATTTTGTTTGTTACTGACAGCTCAATCTAACATTTAGGTGGTCTAAGTTAAGACCATCTAAATGGTTAGATTAAGCTGTCAATATCAAAAAAGATTCAAAATATCAAAGTGAGGACCAGGGGATGTTTTTTAGGGTTTTTTTTTGCAAGGGTTGTGATTAGATCTGATGAGTATCTCGAACTGGCTTACAATCTGTAGAATATTCTGGAACCAAGGCGACAACATGTAAGCATGACAAACATATGGTATAGTTAATCTAGGAAGCAGCAGAGATCACTTGTCTTGTATCTGTGATTATAAAAACTTATGAAATGACAGATAGAATAATATTCTGAGTAATAAATATAATAGAGATGTTATAATCAGCGCCTCCTATAATTACACCTGTATCTGATCAGTAGCCCAGTTGGTACAGAACAGTAGGATGTTAAACCCAATTTCATTTCATTTCATTCCAGATAAGATGTTCAGGTAAAAAATGGATTAAATCATTTGACAAAAAAAACCTGACATCTTCTAATCTCTGTATATAAAAAAGTTTGTTTGATTGCTTGTTTGAGTATTCGCTATTGGAAACCTATTGGTTGGACTTATAAATTTTAAAATAGCTTCATAATTGCCATATTCATGAAGCAATGGCCCAAGAAATCCCTCTCTAGATATTGCTGTATTGAGACTAAAAACTTGAGTCTTTGAAGGAGCGTGTCCATTCTCATCATCCAATCAAATCTCTTCTGGTAAAATATATGAAAGTTTCATGACTTAAACAGGGTGTCTTAGTACTGATTTCAAGAAAAATTTTACCCTTGGATGCATCGGGAACAAACATTGATACTCGAATGGGTAAAGTTGCCTGTCGCTGAAACTCGCTATTGGAACGGAAGTTCTTTAACTCAAATCTCGGATATAAATTCTATAAATGTGTACCAATTATTACTGATTTTGTGAAGAAAATCCATGAATTATTTATTTTATCAAAAAAACACATCGTATTGCTATCCAGTTTGTTGAAACACAATACATAACATGACAGCCCCTTCTCTTTGATCTGCTGTGTGATCCAAGAGATGATAAAAATATTCCATGTGCGCAGCAAATACCACATGTTTACATTTTAGCTATTTTGGATAGCATCGTTTATCACACAATTAGTTTCTCTGTAATATTCTGTTATGTACAAGTTTTATTGAGCTTAATACATTTTGCATATTCCACATGATGTAGCCACGTTTGTCACCGAACACTTTACAGTAACATATTTAGAGCTCTGGTTAATCCCGATTGATTTTGTTTTGTCGTTATGTACTGTTTGTTGATCGGACTGTTGACCAGTTATAATTTGGGACAGAAATTTGCACTGAGTATGGCAGTGTTTGATTAGGTCTAATCAAATGAAACACTGTGAGGAGTATGCATAATAGCCAGGTTTTTACAGTTGTATTTGGTGCAGTATTTAATGATGAAATTGACAGTTAATTATTATTGCATTCTAGAATACACATGTACCATGATTATTGTATATAATGAAAACATTCTACACCATACTTTTCTACACTAGCTCATTGATCACCTTCAGCAAAACTTTATTTTTCTCCAACCTTGTGGGTTTTCTCCGGGTCCTGCCAGTTTCCTCTCACTGCTAAAGACCCCTACGCGCAAGCGAATTATTGAAATAAAATTGAACCATACCATATGTTTGTCCCAAAATGACCTAGTTTGTGTCGAGTGGACGTTAAACCCGACTTCTCTCTCTCTCTCTGGCAAAATAAAAACTACTCAATACCATCACTTGTGCAACACAGCATAATTTGGTGTAAATGTAAGTTAGGGAATTACTACTCGGTATACAATTTATTACGAAAAGAGTAATATACTGAGGGGAGCCATCATGACTCAGTGAGTAGGATGTTGGATCGCTAAACTGGAGGTCCTGTGTTCGATCTCTGCACTGACTGAGAAAGTTCATTGGGATTTTTCGGTGGTACCCCCTTGTCAATAGTGTAGGACAGAGGGCCTGGCAAGGGACTATGTATAGTGGTTCAGATTGAACAAAAAAATGAGGTCCTGTGTATTCATTGGTGTGCACCTAAAATAATCCTTGATGGTTTGAATTCAAAAAAGAATAGGCCATAGTGCCACCACTGTCGGGTCAAAAATTCCCTCATAGCATATGGCATATGCCCATCTTCATTAGCCCAGTCGAAGCAGAACAGTAGGATGTTAAAGCCTGTTAAGCTATGGTCAGAATTATTAGATATTTTAGTTGTGATGTTTTTTGTTGTGTCCAACATGTGTCGTGTGTTCAGCATGAACTAACTAAGAAATAAACTATATGAAAATATTAATACAAAACGCTTAAGTGATTTTACATAAGTGAGCTGAAATAAAGAGCTGATCTATCACAAATTCAAATCCTGAATGACATTATTTATTTATAAACTAAACGTAATTTAAATAAACGATAATCCAGATTAAAAGGCAATATTTTAACCAATTTTCTAGTAGCAGCCCTGCTTATCTTTTCTTAGAATACAAAAACAGGATGAAGAAAAAGCTGAACAATCTCCTTTAAGTTACATTCTCACTGAACGAAATCTTCAGTGTACACATTCTTAACTGATGGGACTTTAAGGCCCTTGAGCCTTTTGTTTTATAAAATCTACACACTCATTAGGCTGTATTATTACTATACTGTATTTTCTAGCAGATTATGTTACCTGTAGATGAGGTGTAAATATACATGTAGATACTTTAACTTATTTTGTATTCTCTCTTCAGTTTCCAGAGTACCGGTCGGGTGTGGAATTACTCATTTAATCCTTGTTCTTCGTATAACGAACCTAGAGATCCACATACAGGTTTTGGAGATGGCTGCTCCTCTGTTCTTGTAAGTTTTACCGTATATTTAATTACAGGTGCCATGTGTGGTTCATGGATGCAGATGGGTCTTAGTCCAGACGCATAGATGGGGCTTAGTCCATGGGCATAGGGCTTAGTTCATGGGCATAGATAGGGCTTGGTTCATGGGTGTAGCTGGGGCTTGATACAATGTACATGGATGCACCTAGGGCTTGATTCATGGGTGTAGCTGGGACTTGATACATGGATGTAGCTGGGGCTTGGTTCATTGTTGGTGGGTTGGGGGGGGTGGATGGCCGAATGGTTAGCACATGTGTGCTGTATCATAAGACCTGTCATTGAGTCAACTGGCGTGGTTTCGAATCCCCGGATGTACGTGACAAGGAGTAGGGTCACCTGTCCAGTCTGGTGGTTTTTCTCCGGGTCCTCCGGTTTCCTCCCATTGCTAAAGACCCCTACGTGCATGCGAATTATTGAAATAAAATTTTAAAAAACCATATGTTAGTCCCGAAATGACCTAGTTTGTGTCGAGTGGACGTTAAACCCCATTTCTCTCTCTCTCTCTGGTTCATGGTTGTAGATGGTGTAGATGGGGCTTAGTCCATGGGTATAGCTGGGGCTTACTCCATGACCTTAATCTCGCATTTCTTATATTTATAAAATATTATTAGAGGTGGGTTGGTCATTCTTATGGCAGGACCATTACGCCTTGTATAAATTGTTTCAATGGCTATTAGTAATGACCTGGATATACACAGGATACAATTTTATCGAATACAATTCAGGCTTATGAGTCTGTAGTCTTTACCAAGCAAATAATGACTGTTTATTATGACCATTTGACTAAGATTATCTAGTCTTTTAAAAGTCTGATAGAGATTAGAGCATGCTAGTCGAAAGTGTGTAGACATGGCTATCCAAGTGCTTGGGGATAACATGAAATTATGGAAACTTAAAAAATATGACAGAAATTCAGATAGTTGTACAGGACTAATATAAAGGCTTCCAAGATTATCAACCCATTTAATTTTCTAATATATATATACATGTATATCTGAAGGTTCCTTTAAGCTGTACATTTGCTTTTACTCGCTGAAAAAAAAATTAGCCCAGTTATTTAAGGTTGTATTGTGCCATGTGTGAGAGTGATGGATTTAACATTTTATCGCATGAATTCAACTATGTCTGGCAAGACTCCATCAATGTTATTGTTATAAGTGTTCATTCATCACCTAGTTTCTCTTTAAATAAATATGGCAAGGAGTAGGGTCGCCTGTCCAACCTCGTGGGTTTTCTCCGGGTCCTCCAGTTTCCTCCCACTGCTAAAGACTCCTACGCGCAAGCGAATTATTGAAATAAAATTAAACCATATGTTAGTCCTAGTTTGTGTCGAGTGGACGTTAAACCCCATTTCTCTCTCTCTCTCTCTTTAAATAAATATTTTTTGCTTCCTTTGATTAAACATACATTATCTTATGCAAGTGCTAATTATTAATTAGACATTAATTAACCTATCCAGACCATAATCAACTGTAGATGGCATTGCTAGCCTTTGATCTTTAGTGGATTATGAGCCGATTTACTGCATAACTTTCCTTCACGATTTAACGATTAAATGGATAATCGAGACTATCCTGTTTATCGTACTGACTTTAGTAATGATGATCGAGGTTAGGCAGAAATTTCAATCGCTTAGTTCTCGGTTCATAGTGGATCAATTTGAATGAAATTTTCAGCAAATTGCTTTTACATTATCTAGTTTTTATACGCCCACATGGAAATGTGGTCGTATATTGCCGTCGCCCCCGTCCGTCCGTCGGTCCATCCGTCTGTCCGTCGTCCACAATTTCTTGTGAACACTCTACAGACTACATTTATCATCTGATTGTTTTGAAATTGATATATTATGTTGTTTGCATTAGTGAGATGAAGAAGCCTATTTAATTTCAATAACTTCCGTTAATTTCGTCTGGAGTTATGGCCCTTTTTTAACTTTGTTGCACCTTGTGAACGACAAAAGTTATCAACCGATCTGTATGAAATTTATATGCATCATTTAAATTAGTAAAACAAAGAAGCCTATTGAATTTCAGCAATTTCCGTTAATTACATCTAGAGTTATGGCCCTTGTTTCACTTTGTTGTACCTTGTTTATGCTCTAAAGACAAAAGTTATTATCTGATCTGTATGAAATTTATATGCATCATTTAAATTAGTAAAACAAAGAAGCTTATTGAATTTCAGCAATTTCCGTTAATTACATCTAGAGTTATAGCCCTTGTTTCACTTTGTTGAATCTTTTGAACGCTCTTATGACAACAGTTATCATCCGATCTGTTTGAAATTGATATGCATCATTTAAATTAATGCAACGAAGATGCCTATTGAATTTCAACAATTTTCGTAGATTACTTCGAGTTACGGCCCTTGTTTTAGTTTTTAGAACCTTGTGAACCCTCAAACGACGAAAATTATAATGTCATCTGTATGAAATTGTGTATTAAATGCCCCCTAATTACCTACAAAAGAACAAATATACAACAACTCTTGTCGACCGCTCGGACGATTTAGCTGCTGTGGGCATATGTTTAGTTGCCTGGCAACCTATCTTTAACTATTATAGTGCTCGCTCGTTATTGAATCTCCCATAATGTATCTTTAAGAAACAAGGGAAGTTGTTTATTGTATGGGGATTAGTATTACTACATGGAAATATTAACTTTATTTTATAAAAATAAAAAAAAAACCAAGAGACAACAAAATAACGAGAAAAGCTTTTAGATGTGTGTATTGTGTACTTTTAGATGTGTGTATTATGTACTTTGTATCTTGTACTTTTAGACATGTACATCTCATACTTTGTGATGTGTATTTTGTGCTTTAAATCTGTGTATTTTGTACTTTTAAATGATGTGTGTATTTTGTACTTTTAGATGTGTATTTTGTACTTTTAGATGTGTGTATTTGGATTGGATAGTGAGAAATATCATTACTACACATTGGGTATTGAAAGAACAGCAACTTTTCGTTTAAAGGAAGAAAATAATAAAACAGATATACAACTAGTATTACGAGGAACAAAGTAGGTAGAGTATGTTATTATAAATTAATATCAGAGACCTTGTGTCCTCTGTAATGTGGTTCAGGATAGAGGACTGGGCATGGAAAAATATCTGGATATTGGGATGGGGAAAAAAACCAAGCTCCACCCATGAGGACATTGGTGTGCATGTTTAAGAACAATTAACATGTTGAATTCATTGAAGAGGAAGCATATTCCCTTCTTCATAATCTTGGTTGGGACAGAAATGAAATGAAATTAGGTTTAACGTCCTACTGTTCTGCTCTGACTGTGCTAATGAAGACAGGCATATGCCATACAATGTGCTATGAGGGGAATTTTGCCCAGGCAGGGGTACTATGACCTACTCTTATGTCGAATTCCAACTGCCAAGGGATCTTTTATGTTCACGGCAATGTATAGACAGGACCTCATTTTTTTGTCCAATACAAATGACTAGACAGCTATCCTTGACAGGCCCTTCGTCCTTCACAACTAACAAGGGGAAACCACGTTGCAAAATCCCAATGAACTTTCTCTGCCACTGCTAGGATCAAACACCCAACCTCCAGTCTAGGGAGCCAACGTCCTACTCATTCAGCCACCATGGCTCCTGGTATTGGGACAGAAATGTCCTCTGCGTTCCCCAATCCAATAACGACTAAAAAATACAAAGCCATGTTGTCAGTGGGAAAATGTCATTTATGAAAATGACGTCAACATAGATAAAAAGCATATACATGATAAATACAAACATACATGTATACAAGATCAATGATAAAAATATGATTCTTTTAAGAGCCACTAAATAAAAGCGTATTTAGTACCTTGACTAAGTTTGATTTTCTGCTTAGCTTAAGCAGAGTGATAATTAAAGATAAATGTGCAAATAAGTAATGGCTTGTATTTATACTAAATAATTTTGTAGTTGGTTGATTGATATTTTATGGCGGGGCTTTCATAAAGAATATGATAATTTTGAGCATTATCCAAATTCATATTTTAAAAGTGTTCTTATATTTAAAACTATAAATTTAATTGTATTTATTGAGATTTAAGGTTAAATTCTTTGAAATTCTAATTTTATGACATGTAAATTGATTGACAGGTATATTCTCTAGTGGGTCAATTTCACTGACATTGAAGTCATGACTGGCCAATAGGACTGAACTGAGATCCCTGTATTATATATTGTAGATCTATGCGGCATCGTCTAACGTTTCTATTATTAGTATGTGATAGAAATCTTGTCAAGCCAGAAGATGCTGTGTTTGAAGTAAAACATAATATTGGTAGACAACCAGTGGTATGTATTAAAAATTGTTAACGTAATAGGTCTACAACGAGTTACTAGTCTTGACTATTCGGTCTTGTAGTCTTTTATGTCATCATGAAAATAAGTAGATTTATTAGTTTTACTATGTGATTTCAAGTCATAAACATTGACCAGAGTTGCATAACACTAGTTTTTGGTTATCTTCAGCTTTATATCTCTTGATCGTAAACTAGGTGATTTCGGGACTAACATATGGTTTAATTTTATTTCAATTATTCGCTTGCACGTAGGGGTCTTTAGCAGTGGGAGGACTCGGAGAAAACCCATGAGGTTGGACAAGCGACACTATTCTTTGTCACATACAAGCATACAAGTAGGGAATCAATGACAGGAATTCTGATCCAAGCGCATGCGTTAACCATTGAGCCGCCCCCACCCCTAACAAACAGAAGTTTTTTCTTGTCAGGCTATCTGTCGTACACCACTGACAAGTCTGGACCATCCAGAGGAACCAATTCACCCAAACTGACACCAGACTAACTAAAATTAGATTTTACATCTTTGAAATACTTCCTATAATAGTTAAACATTTAACCACATTTCATTTCATTTCTCTGTGTGTCTCAAAATAAATTTATTCGCTTTGAACTTACAATTTTTTTTTTGCTGATCTCCTCTTTTCCACAAAAACTGCCAAAGTATATTATCGATTATTTTTTTTAATCTTTAAATATTGTAATACACCTGTTATTTTTTGATAAGAAACAGCATCTCCTGACATATATACAAATTACTTTAATTCATATGTTCAAAAGGCATAAACATATAACAATTGATCATTTTTGACAGTCTTTATCATCTGTGATTAGAGTTCAAAGATATTTTATATATCGATTTATAATTTTGTTGCCATTGATCATCATTTGAAGAATTTTTGGAATCCCTTGTAAGCTACAATATTGTGGAATATACAGGTCACAATTCTATGGAATACAATAACTGCTTATTACTGAGTGATGTTTAGACTATGCTTCCCTAGAATTGGGGACTGTATATTCCAGTTCAATTAACATACATTATGCAAGAGCTAAATCTGCCTATTGCAGGTCTTTCTTTAGGCCTGAAATGTTTTCTAAATTATTGATTAGACATTAATTAACTTATTCAGGCTATAATCAACCCTCGATGGCATCAGATTTCTCCGATATTAAATAGATTAGAACAGTTCAGCCATATTTTGATTTAAGCTAAAAATGGACGAGCGAGACTTAGCTTTGAACAACCTGTACAGTTGTTGAAATTATTGCACACATCTTTTCAAACCTTCAAAGGCAAATATCTTCGCTCGCAATAGAGTAATTTGAATGAAATTTTCAAATTATTCATTTTACATTATCTATTTTCGAACTATTATAGCAAGAATGGCTAGCTCTTTATCTAAATCTTACATAATGTATCTTTACTAAATGCCATTGAAACAATTTGATATTGTGGAAGTTGAATCTCTAAAAGGAATATATTAGTACAAAAATAGCTCATTTCTGTTCAGTATTTATAAAGATATGATAAATTAAAAATATATCCCAACATTCCGCGTCATCTTCAGACAATAAAATGTCATCAATGCCAATGTTTTAGCACCATGATACCTTGATTAGACAACCAATCAAATTTCAAGTTAAATGGATTCTTTCAAATGATTTCACTGCAAGACATCTTTTGTTCCAACTATAGCACAGGAATAGAGGGATGAAATTAGATCCTTTATTAATGAATAATTTCTGTGCATGTATATATTTCAGACTGGTAAAATACGTCATATCTGTTGTTGTCCAGATGGTTGTCCTTTGGAAGTTTCAAAAAATATTACCAACGCTAATCTAACAGGTAATGCACATCATCTGTTTTGTAATTTAAGAACACAAGCAAAATTGCATTTTGTAATCAATCAGGTGAAATCAGTTCTACTGTGATATTATCAGTTTTTATACACCCATATTGTAATTTGGCCATATATTTTCATTTTAATAATACTTCAAAAATTATTACCCTTGAAAATGTTATAGAACCTTGTCAGCCTGTTGGTGATATATTACATATAAACATTTGTACTTTCCAAAAGATTCAGAATGGGGCAACCTTTAATGAAAGCTGGGTTGATTTAGAAGTGGTTATTTTGTCTTTTCTAACAAGAGGAAAAGTCAAGCAGCTTTATGTGTATGGCTTTAGAACTCATAGAAAGTTTTCAACATGTAATATTTTGCTATAGAACTGTTTCATAGCAATTAGGTGATCATGTTTTCCATTATTGTCAGTGCCACTTTCAGGTCTTCTATATTCCGGATAGTGTGAAGGCACTGGATGTTAAAACGATCAGAATTTTTCTGTTAGATCAACAGTGATGATAAAAGAAAATAAAAAAAATATAATAAATTGATTTGAAATCACTGTCCATCAGTTTGTGAGTCCATCCACAATTCCTTGTGAACACTCTAGAGGCTAAAGTTATTATTGGATCTCTTTGTATGAATTGTTTATAGTAGTAAGACAAAAACGTTTATTGAATTCTGATAATTACTCTCAGAATTATTTCTGTTTTTGACTTTCCAAAGTCTTGTGGATACTCTAGGTAGAGGCAAAAGTTAATTTAGGATCTTAAATGAATTGTTTGAATTCTAAGATGAAGATGCCTAACAAATTAGCCAGTTGCCTTTGAACATTTTACAGAATCTTATGAAAGAGGATAAAGCTATTATTAACAAATCTTTTGCCCACGATCTCATTTATCCCCCAACCTAGTTGAAATTTATTATTTACAGTTCGTAGATGCTGATAGAATTTCAACAATTTATGATAATTACTTACAGAGTTGTTCCCCTTGTTCGCTTTGTAGAATCTTGAGAATGCTCTAGACACAAAGTTTATCTTCTGATTTATTTGAAAGTTGAGATAAGTAAGACAAATACTGTGCTGACACTAATTTATGTTCTATGTCAGCATGTACTCTCAAACTTTAAGTGTTTTCTGATGATTACATTAAGAGTTGTATATCACTTAAACATACATTATGCAAGAGCTAAATCTGCCTATTGTAGGTCTTTCTTTAGGCCTTAAATGTTATCTAAATTATTAATTAGACATTAATTAACTTATCCAGACCATAATCAACTCTCGATGCCATCGCTAGTCTGCAATTCTTACTGGATTAGAATCCGATCTGCTGCTCAAAGCTCATTGATGAATAAATACAAAAAAAATGAATAATCGGGACTATATTTTTTTATTGTCCCGACTTTAGTAATGATGATTGAGGCTAGGCCCAAAATTCAATCGCTAAATTCTCGGTTCAGAGTGGATCAATTTGACAGAAATTTTCAGCAAATTCCCTTTACATTATCTAGTTTTGAACTATTTTAGTGAGAAATGGCTAGCTCTTTATCTAATTTCCCATAATGTATCTTTAAGTGTTTTCTGATAATTGTATTAAGAGTTATATCATTTAATAAGTTTGCCTATTCCCTAAAATTCCTTATGCCTGCTTGTGGAAATATCCAAAATTTAAAGTTTAATGTCACTGTATTTTATGTTTAGTCTTTTCTGTTTGTTTACATCCGATATTTGAATATTTTTCAGAAATTGAACCAAAGCCACGTAAAGCTGATAAAAAGTTGTTATTGATAGTTGTAGTTACGAATCTTGGTTTATTATTTCTAGCTGCGTTAATTGGTGGATTATGTTACATCAAGAGAACACATGTACATCAATATAAACATTATAAAGGTATATTGTAAAATTATTTATGGTACAATATTTCCCACCAATAGACCATTCAGATGCTTATATTTAAGCTAGTTTGAAGCGCCGCCTGGTTTTAAGCCAGGAGAATTTAGCATTCACAGGTACTACAGTTTAAGCCAAGCCAGTTTAACCAATTTAACCAATTAAGCATGGGTACACATCATTTTGCTAGGAAGATAATCTAATGCATGAGTCTAAGCCAGATTGAGCTGGTGTTTTAAGGCGATGACCATAGTAAGCCAGCTGTAAAGAAAAACCCTCTTGAAGACGGGTTGAAAGCTAGGGTTTATCACCTTTGCATTCAAATGACTAAGTTAAACTGGATTAATGAAGACGGGTTGAAAGTTAGGGTTTATCACCTTTGCATTCAGATGACTAAGTTAAACTGGATGAATGACACTGGCACTTTTAAGCCAGTTTAACTTAAGCATCTGAATGACCTGTACGATCATACACTTTAAAATGTAGTCTTAATAGAAATCGCATTGGTTGAAAAATTATTAAAATCGATTAGCCTACTCCTAACACAAGTTATGGCCATCTAAAATTCCCATTACTCTCTGGGGTCATCATTTTCTTGTTTAGAACAACAATATCAGGATAGTATATATCTAAACTAGATTTATTGATTTAATAAAATAGTCGACTCTACAAAGTAAACTTTTCAGCCCTTAAATAATGAAAATAAGGTTAGTTGAATAAAACTCCTCCTTGGTGGTGCAATGAAAAAAAAACAATATATAAATATATAAGATTCCATTTTCATCGCACATGTGAAATAAAGTTACAAAAAAATTGTTGAAATGGCACCACTTTTGAAATTTGTGCTCAGAGGAAAGTTCTCGCTTCCTTTTGTACTGATCACAACCCCTTTTATCTCATTTATTTCCAAGTATAATGGAATTTAAATAACCCTAAGTTATGGTTGTTGTATAATAGATAAAATAGGATAATTTATGCTCTTGTCCTATATATTGCCCAAGATATTATAAAATACGGCAGTATTGAGGAGGTAACTACAGTTTGAATCTATAAAAGATTATAAAATAGATATATCCCTTAACAGCAGTAGTATAAAAACACACTTAGGTTGAAATGAGAGGGGGTTTATTCATCTTCATAAAAGACTGTTTATCAAACGATCGATTATAAACTAGTTGTAACCTTTAGACCTTTTAATAGTTAAAAATAGATAATGAAAACAGAATATGCTGAAAATTTCAGTCAAATACTTCACTTTGAGCGTAATGGTGATACAATTATATACTAGCCTCAATTGTCATTACTACTGTTGTTACGAAAATAAACAAAGCCTTGATTATCCATTTTTAAGGTAACTGCATCGACCACATAACGAATTTAAATCTATTTATGTCACAGCCATCTGAGGGCATCGAAAATTGATTATGGTCATAGAAAGTTAATTAATGTCTAATTAATTATTTATATAAAATTTCAAGCCTAAAGCAAGATCTGCAATAGGCAGATTTATCTCTTGCATATTGACTCTTTAATATACAGATGAAATTAAATGGAATTGGGTTTAATGTCCAACTTTTATGCTCCAACTGGGCTAATAAAGACAGGTATATGCCATACAAGGTGCTATGAAGAGAGATTTTGCCAGGAGAGCTGCACTACAGACTACTCTTATTTCAAATTCCATTTGTCAAGGATTCCATTAAGTGCGCGCCAATGTATACCCTGGAGTACATGTACCAGTGTTTTTCATCACACCCAAACGAATAAACTGCAAGCCCTCCAAGCCCTCCAAGCCCTCCATCCTGCACCACTGACATGGGGAAACCATGTTGAAAAATCTGGGAGTATTTTCTCAGCCAACACCAAGTTCGAACTCTGGACCTTTGAATAGTTCAGTTTAATAAACGGGTCTATACTATATTTAACCCTGGTATATATATTGGGTGTATATTTTGGTTGTTAGGAAATATATATTATATCATAGGTAATATATCCTGAGATAAGAAACAAATTGTGTAAGATATTATATAGATAAAACATGTTGTATAATACCCCAGTCATCTTAAAACTGTGTCATAGTTTACTTGGGTCGGACATTACCCTAGTTATTGCATGTGACAAGATAGGATTTTCCAGTGCCATGGTGTAATGGAGGATAAAATTGTCTTTGAGAATACAAATGAAATGAAATGTGTTTTAACATTTTTAATAGACCAAATGGGCTAATGGAGGAAATTTTTCCCAGACAGCGGTACTACAGACTAATCTAATTTCAAATTCCAACTATCCAGGATTTTTTTATTTGCACGCCAACGTGTACATGGGACCTAGAATATGAAGGATAAAATGTTAAAATTATTTTAAAGCAATAATGAGTCTGACTCCAGATTATCTGACAGTAGCCGAAGCTACCCTGTCACCATATAGGGATGTTGACTGAAATGTTGACTGAAATGTTGACTGGATCATATGTAATTCATAACAATAAAATAAGTAAGGGAGACAATATGTCAAATGTGGTGTGAGATCTGGAGATTAGGGTGGGGTGGGTTCAAGCGGCAACAATGCTTCACGCATGTCTGTTTGTTCAACATTGTTTTGATGAATGTAGGAGAAATAAATCTACTCTGCACGAACAGGGGAGAGTCCGAACTCTGCCCCCCCCCCCCACAAATAATATGCTTTGAGGATGCATTAGTTAAAATAATTAATGTAGACCAAACTTATCTTTAAATCAAGTACAGTTATACTGAGTGACCATGACAAATTAAATGGCTAGTGTATTTGAGTTCGCATAATTTAACGGACAATTTACATTGTTTACAGTTTGTTTCAGAGATTACACTTAGTTCTAGATTGTTTTATACAAAGAACAGGTCGTCCTTTTCAAACATTTAGTACCTATTTTCAAATGAATTTTTTATACATCTAAATTGAAATTGGGTTGTAAATTGCCATAGCCCCCATGCGTCCAATGATCTGTCCATTCATTGTTCTCAATTTCTTATGAACACCTGACAGACTACTATTATAAGATTTATAAATGTTCCCGTTAGTGAGACGAATAATCCTACTGAATTCTTACAATTTCTTGTAATAATCAACTTCCAGAGTTATTCCTCCTGATCACCTTGTAGAACCTTGTGATCACTCTAATGACTAGGGGGGTTGGATGGCTGAATGGTTAGCGTGTGCGCGCTGTATCATAAAGTCTGTCATTTAGTCGACTGGCGTGGTTTCGAATCCCCGGTTGTACGTGACAAGGAGTAGGGTCGCCTGTCCAACCTCGTGGGTTTTCTCCGGGTCCTCCGGTTTCCTTCCACTGCTAAAGACCCCTATGCGCAAGCGAATTATTGAAATAAAATTAAACCATATGTTAGTCCCGAAATGACCTAGTCTGTGTCGAGTGAACGTTAAACCCCATTTCTCTCTCACTCTCTCTCTCTCTAATGACTAAACTTATCAACCAATCTGTTTGAAATTGATAAGCCTGATTCAGATTAATAAAATGAATAATGCTATCGAATTAGAATTTTCTGTTAATTACTGTTAGACTTATGAACCATCTTCATTTCGTGAAAACTTGAGAACATTATTTATAAGCTGGACATTTATATATATTATCTAAATTAGTGAGATGTAAAAGCCTGTTGAATTTCAATGATTTCTTTTAATTACTTAGAGAGTTATAGCCCTTCTTTACTTGTAAAATTTTTTGAATGCTAATTAAAGTTACTCGCTTCTGGAGTAATGGCTCTTGTTCATTTTGTAAACCTTATGAATGCTTTAGCATCTGATCTTCTTTATGTCAATTATTACGGATCAATTACAATTACAACAAATTCTTATAAGGACTTACAGAGTTATCGCCTATGAAATTATACAGTGTAAAGCAGTGATGGGATTTTGCCGGTATATTCCGGACATGTCCGACGCTATTTTCCAAACATCCAAAATTGTCCGACCAGGACATCAAGATATGGTGAATAATATTCAAAATTCCATAATAAATATAGTGTACTGAGTGTATAACTACCACTCAACCCGATTATTGTTGATAATAGTCTGGATTGATTAGGTAATTAAGTGATCAACATATTTATTGTGTTATACCGTCTATAAACCTACCTTGATTAACTACTTCATCTGCCATGATTGGCTGACTTAATCCTTTATCGGACAATTCATCAATCTATTCTTAAACAGAAGTCACTGCTTCCTCTTTGTCGGACTATCCCTCAATTCAATAAGAGGGATTATAATTTTATATACTATAAAGATTTTGCTTCATATTTATGTGATAATCACAGTTTGACAACCTTTGTGGACTGATTGGATGACTTAGCTGCTGGTGTAGGGATATGTTTTGTCGGCTGGTTACATATCTTTCATTCCATTTATAAAGTTGGCTTAATTTTTTCCAATTTGCTAATGAAATGTTGTATGTTACTCTTTCTAGAGTAGAACACCTGATACCACTTCATATCTCAAGAGTTCACAAAGGTTACAAATTTCTGTGTAAACTACTGAACTGGCCCAATAGAATTCAGCCTCTTATATTCCAAGTACAAACAAATTGCTCCAGTTAGCTATGGATAGTGATGTGTGTCAAGCAAGAAGTAGAGTATGCTTACTCTTTCTGGAACACTTGATACCCCTTGTCTTCTAAGGGATTTGAATAGCTTACAAATCTGGGGTTTTACATTTGCATGGGCTGTAGAAGGGGGTATATTGAAGGGCTATAACTATGTTCAACATTATATTATATAGATGAGTATTTTAAAGGGCAATAGCTATATTCAGGCGTATATTGCAAAGCTATAACTAAGTTAAACATTATATTGATGAGTATTTTGAAGGGCTATAGCTATAGTAAGGAGTATATTGAAAGGCTATAACTATGTTAAGGATTATATAGAAAGTTATAACTATGCCAATGAGTATGTTGAAGGGTTATAACTATGTTCAAGAGTATATAGACGGGCTATAACTATGTTCAGGAATATATTGAAGGGCTATAACTATGTTCAGGAGTATATTGAAAGGTTATGGCTAGGTTAATGGGTATATTGAAGGGATATAACTTACTAAAGAGTATATTGAAGGGATATAACCTTCTAAGGAGTATATTGAATGGTTATAACTATGTTAATTGGTATATTGAAGGGCTATGGCTATGTCAATGGGTATATTGAAGGGATATAACATACTAAGGAGTATGTTGAAGGGATATATATATTGAAGGAATATATTGAAGGGATATAACTATATTAAAGAATATATTGAAGGAATATAACTATGTTAAAGAGTATTAAAGAGTAAATGGAAGGAATGTGACTATTTAAAGACAAAGGTACATTGAAGAGCCCTGACTATGTTAAAGAGTATAATGAACGGCTATAACTATGTTGAGGAGTATATTGAAGGGCTATAACTATATAAAGAATATGATTTCTTCTTTAAATTGTATTAATCGTTACAATCCCCTTCAATAAAGTTAAGATATGTGACTAATGATTACATAATAAATAATGTGATACTCAACCACCATCTTAACAAAAGGAGAAGATATTTATTAGCAAAATCAGTAACGTTAAAAATAATAATCTACGATAAAATGAATCTTTTTGATGAAAATTTGTTTCAGGTCTACAGGGAATTGATCCAAATGCTCGGAGGTCCATCTCAGTGAATAATAAGCCAGGGAGGTTAAATCGCCCTTCACCTTACAGTGATTGGGAACCATCGGATGCTATGGCCAAAAAGAAATTATTACCGGTTTTAGAAGAATCGGAGATCAGTATTCGTAGTCTAGAAATGAGTCAAAGGTTAGACAAATATTAGAGCAGAACAGTAATTGTTTCCTTCAAAAAGTAAATGAAAGTGTTATCAACATAATTTCTTTGAAAGATTAAGTTTTGAAAATGCAGTTTATTATGATGTCCCAATGCAGACATTTTGATAACTAATGGTGGCAATCTACTAAACAAGCAGTATCAATCAATTTTCGAACTGTTGCATGTGAATGATTACCTTTCTAATAGTAAATGCACATAACTTTCAAGAGATATTTTATTTTTTGGGGTCATAAACATATTTTACACTTAATTTATATTCCCAAAATGAACATAATTTAAAATCCCAAAATGAATATAATTTATATTCCCATAATTTAATTTAAAGTCCTAAAGTGACAATATTTTAAATCTAATTAATATATTGAACATTATATTTAATTGTTTTGTAATATTTATCTTACAGATTGTATATTTGGTGATATACATGTTACATTATAATGTGTCATGTGTTGCATTTTGTATGTTGTATACACATTATAATTAATTGTTTTGTTGTATATTTCAGATTAGGAGGTGGAATATTTGGTGATACACATATAGCTAAATGGAACCACATGAATGTTGCTGTAAAAAGACTCACTTTAACAGTTCATGAAAATCAGCTGACGCCAAAAACCATGGAATACATGAAATCAGAAGTGTGGAAATTAAGGTTGATAATATTTTCTGACTTCCAAGGTTTTAGGGAAAGATTATCAAAAATTAACAGTTTAATCAAATCGAGTTAACCCTTTAGCACTTACACCGCTTGAAACCACTCTAATCCAGGCTCCTTAGACTGCCTCAAATCTCCCTGTCACATGCATAGCTGTATCTTCAATAGAAGGCTTGATCTAGCTTTAACTACGAACATCTTATCAAGTCCTTCACGTAATAACCTGCATATTTTGGGACTAATTTTGATTGGGTATTCACCCAGCTTGGGAGCCTATCTGATTCCTTAGTCATCGCGATTACCAAGTCTCGTGCTTTTAAGCTAAAATGTTTACCTGTGATAACCGAGTTGCAAAGTTCAAGGTTCATTCAATGTCAAGATTTCCACGGAGGTCGCTATGTCACAACCTCTGATTGATCGCTACTGTTCACTTGTCTGCAGATAACGTAGCTATAAGTTCGGTAATTGTAAAACTCGCAGTCATTGCTTCAGGAACATGGCTTAGATGTGGCACACGGTCTTATAATACAGAAAGTTATTCAAATATCTCTCGTGGTTTGAGGTTGTCTAAGGAACAGAAGTTTTGGTCTGTTCAGGGATATACAGGTATTGATATATCGCTTTTCTGTAAAAAAGATTTAACGAATTTGGGGTATTCAAAACATGTATCAAGTGCTAAAGGGTTAAATCAAGATTGTTTTGTCATTTTACAATAATGATTATTGAAACATTAAATAGCCACAAACCAAAATAATACTCGGTATCTCCATATTGACTTTCGGATATTACAATATTTGATAATGTAAAAAAAGGTGATATTAAATGACTATATTATTTATTGACAAACATAAATATCACCCACCACTGGAAGACTATACTGTAAACTCTGTACATCCATGGGCGTTATTCACAGAAACTTATAAGATCAGTCTCAGATCAGACCCAAAATGTAAAGAAATAGTCTATTATTACCTAAATAAAAGTGACAAGAACAGCTGTCTAGTCGTTCGGATGGGACAAAAAACTGAGATCCCGTGTGCATATTGGCGTGCATGTAAAAGATTCCTTGGCTGTTGGAATTCGATTTAAGAGTAAGCCATAGTGCCGCTGTCCTGGCAAAATTTCCCTCATAGCACACTGTATGGCCTATGCCCGTCTTCATTAGCCCAGTCAGAGCAGAACAGTAGGATATTAAACCCCATTTCATTTCATTTTCTAAATAATAGTCAACGCCGGTAAAATCTTTTGGTGGGCCTTGTTTAATCCGATTGAATCCAAGCCAGGTTATCGTCTACCTTTGAGCAATTTGAGTAAATGATTTAAGAATGGATTGAACCATGAAATATTAGATATTGCCCACTTGAGGTCAGCAACATTAAATCCACTGAAATCTACAAGTATTTTTATTGTTTTATATTTTTAGTCGTTTGAGACACAAGTTAATAGTAACAGTATTAGGATTGTGTTTAGATAGTAAAATGCCGTACATCATAACAGAATATGTTGAAGGAGAGTGTTTACAAGATTTTATTAAAGTTAAAGGCAGTCGGTTAACATGGCCACAGAGAGTTAAAATAGTAAGTTGATTGTTAATCTGTCTCAAATTACAGTGGCTCTGTCTCACTAACCAGGAGGTCCTGGGTTCAGTTCTGGTGCTGTCCGGGAAATATCCTTAGGATTTTTCAGTCTGGAAAAAGTGTCTAGTCGTTCAGAATGGACAATAAATCGAGGTTCACTCAGTTCTCATTAATAGTAGGCAGAAACCCTGCTTTTGTCCAGCCACAAATTCCCGAATAGCATTAGTTAGTTGTCTCAATTCAGATCACATCAATGTAAAACACTTAAACCTGTTGCTTCACACATGAGGGTGGGATGGGGTGGATGGCCGAATGGTTATGGGTGTGCATGTTGTATCATAAGGTCTGTCATTTAGTCAACTGACGTGGTTTCGATTCCCTGGTTGTATGTGATAAGGAGTAGAGTCGTCTGTCAGACCTTGTGGGTTTTCTCCAGGTCCTTCGGTTTCCTCCCACTGCTAAAGATCCATACGTGCAAGCAAATTATTGAAATAAAATTGAACCGTGTGTTAGTCCCTAAATGACCTAGATTGTGTCAAGTGGACGTTGAATGCGATCACTCTCTCTCTTACCACATCTCACAGATAAAGAACAATATAACTGAAGCAAAAAAAAAACTAAAATCAATTTAACAAAATATGTTCTTTGCATAGTAATATGGATGATTATATTACAAACCTAGCTTCATTCTCCCCTCAAATAGTTCAATACCGTAATCTTGCCAGTAGAAATAACATCTTTGTAAGCCTAGCTCTATTCTCTCCTCAAATAGTTCAATACCGTAATCTTGGAAGAAGAAATGTTCAGACCTGGCGTGGAGCTAGCTACTGACCTCAGACTATATATCTTCCCCACTTTTGCCTCTCTATGTAGTATTTTACTCTGAGAAACAGAGTAATCATAGGTATAATATATATGATGTTCTAGGTCCCTCTGAACTATAAAACTAAGCATAACAAAACCACATGGAACAACACTAAATAAAATGATATATACAAAGTGTGGAAACACCCTCAAAATAGTGAGAAAACAAACTTTTCCTCATAAATGCATTATTTTAATGATTAATGAATTGTTAGTTGTAAGTTACGGTAATAAAGGTGAAATGAGAACAATTGACTGTGTATATTGATAATCATAAGCTGAAACTGAGTTTCCGTATATTCATCCAGGAATTCCAACAAATAATAAAGGTGAAATGAGAAGAATTGGCTGTGTATATTGATAATCATAAGCTGAAACTGAGTTTCCTATATTCATCCATTAAGTTCAACAAATAATATTGTTTTTATATATAACTAACTGATGTTAATTATTTTATAAGTATTGTAAAGACTGAAAGCACCATTAATTCCTTTGATGATTAAAAATATTATTTTTTAAAAATCAACTAAATAAATTTCTTCTAACCCTAGCTTGCATAATGGATAAGTCCTTTTTAAATAAGTTAACTCCTGTTTACCTCTCAGATCTTTTAGAACTTTATACACCTGGCCGAACATTACGTACATCAGATAAACTACTTTTAAAGCCCAAAACTTATGGTCAGCGCTCTTTCAGTTATCAAGCACCTGTTTTATGGAATAATCTACGATTTAATTTAAGATGTTGTACATCTCTATATTCTTTTAAAAAACAACTTAAAACACATTTATTTAATCAGGCTTTTAACTGACTCTGTATACAATCGTTAACATGTCCATAATCTTGTTGTTTATTTATGATTATATTGTCACTTTGTAAAGTGTCCCTGAACATGTTATATCAAAGGGCGCACTATAAATATGTTGTAATAATAATTTTTAAAAACTCAAGATCTACCCATTCATCTGTAATGTCAAATGAAATGAAATGGGGTTTAACGTCCTACTTTTCTGCACCAACATGGATAATGAAGACGGGCATGCCACATGTGAACCATTGACAGTTGGAATTCAAAATAAGAACAGATCGTACCAATTTCCCCCACAGCACACTACGGTATGGCGCATGGCCGTCTTCATTAGCCCAGTCAGTGCAGAAAAGTAAGACGTTCAATTTCATTTCATTTCCAATTACTGCCGAGATGTTATGAGTACCAAGATGGGGTTATGGTTAGAGCATTTACTGTGACGCGGTGTCATCGAGTGCTGACCAACCCCAGCTGTACTAGGTAATTGAAACAGACTATAACTGGCAATCACTTGAGAGATAGTTATTCTCTGAATCACTTTCTTTGATTGACAATAACTATCGAAAATACGTCTCAAATTGACAATCTGTTGTGTATGAATTACTAAGGAAAATAATTGTTACCGACAAATTTTATAGGTTTTAAATGAATAGGAATTTCTGTTTTTATAAAGTGGTTTCAGATTCATACTGAATATAATAGTAATAGGCAAATTTTTATACACCCACATTGAAATAAGAGAGAGAGATAATATAAAAAAAGAAAAGAAATAAAAGATGGTTTTGTGATACCCATGACTTAGTCTAAATTCAGTTCTCCTACTGGTGTCACTGTATCAGGTTACTCAGATATGTTATGACTTGGATACCATCGAAGTTTATACTATTCAGATTATTATTTGGATTCCTCTCTTTATTTTTATAAGCCCACATCAAATGGGGTTGTGTATTGTTGTCACCTCTGTACACCTGTTCGTCATCCACAATTGGTTTTTGAGGCTGACGTTATCATCGGATTGACATATAATTTATACACAGCGTTTAAGTTCATGTAATACAGCAGCTTATTCAACAATTTCTGATAGTTCAAACAGCGAAAATTATTATCTGACTACCAGTACATATTGTGTATAATAAGTCTTGCCAATAAGAAGAACTAGAGGCTCATTAATTATTTCTGCTTATTATACTTCATAGGTTGTTACTCTTGATAGGTTTTTAGTGTCACGAATGTTCTCTCATTACCTGCAATGTGGTTTCCCCTTATCAGTGGTGCAGGATGCAGGATGAAGTCCCTATCAAGGACAGCTGTCTAGTCATTTGGATGGTACAAAAAACCAATGTCCCATGTATGCATTGGCACGCACATAAAAGAACCCTTTGGAAGTTGGAATTCGATATAAGAGTAGGCCATAGTGCCACTGCCCGGGCAAAGTTTCCATCATAGCATACTGCTGTATGGCGTATGCTCCGTCTTCATTAGCCCAGTCAGAGCAGAACAGTAGGACATTGAACCCCATTTCATTTCATTTCTTCCATTACCTACAAAAGAATTGAATATGCAATAGCCTTTGTGGACTGCTTGGACGCCTTAGCTGCTGTTTATTTCATCGGCTGGCAGCCTATCTTTTTATGGTATACCATATAATGTCATAAGTGGACTATGAAATTGGGACAACATTTATGAACTGCTTGGACACCTTAGTGGCTGTATGTTTCATTGGCTGGCAACCTTTTTTTTATGTGTCGGTGCACAAAACCATGGTAAAATTTAAATCATAAGAAGACAATCTACTCGATGAACCTATGTATACCAGTATAGATTATTGGTTCGAGTAGTTTCTACATATTGATGTATACTGGTTGTTAACCCGGGTTAAAAATATAGGTTGTCTTGAAACCAAATATACCAATTGATCAGCTGAGGGAGAAAAATAAATTTTAAGAGGAAAAAAAATTCAGAATATAAATAAAAACCTAAAAAAAAATGTTATTATCTATTAATGAATAAAATGTAGATAGGATTTGTCTAATATAAGCACGAAGTGTGCCTAAGTAGCATAACTAGATTTTGGTCAATGCAAAGAAAGCATACATAGCTTCAAAAGTGATAGTGTAAATACTTGTAAATTGGACACTCATTATCAAACATTCTAGTGACTCAATTGTGGCCTTTCTTAACCCTGACTAAAAATGCCAAATGGTAAAATTTTGAAATAGAAACCCTGCTTTGATTGAAGACATTATTATTTTCTGATTTTATATTTTTTTTTCAGTGTACACAAATAGCAGACGGGATTGCGTTCTTACATTCATGTAAACCAATCATCATTCATCGAGATCTGAGATGTGGTAACCTGTTTATCCTTGATGAAGATATCATAAAGGTACGTACAAAGTGAGATATCCCCAGTTAGTTCAACAATACCAATATCTATTAGGCAGGGTTTGATGGCCGAATGGTTAATGTTTGCGCATTGAATCATAAGGTCTGTCATTGAGTCAACTGGCATGGTTTCGATTCCCCGGTTGTACGGGACAAGAAGTTGGGTCGCCTGTCCAGCCTCGTGGGTTTTCTCTCGGACTTCCGGTTTCCTCACATTGCTAATGACCCCTATGCACAAGCAAATTATTGAAATAAAATTGAACCATATGTTAGTCTCGAAATGACCTAGTTTGTGTCGAGTGGACGCTAAACCCATCTCTCTTTCTCTCTCTCTCTCCTATCTACCAATTAAACTATTAAGAGACATTGATTTAAGTTAATCTATATATTATTCTTAGTTTTTCTATGTATTGTGTTGTTGGCAATCTATGATAGACATGTAAAAACAGTTCAGTCGATAGTGCAATATTCTCCAATTGCTACAATAGGCGTACGGGCTCGATGACAGTTAGGGGGGCAGAACCCCGAAATGGCCGAAAAAATTTCGGGTGTACAGACAGCGGCGCCAATCTTCCTCGAGAGGCGAAGAAGCAGAGCTCCCCTTGTATTGTACCCCCCCACCCCCCTCACAAACATAATTTCCTGCTATTTCAGCCCGTGAACAAAGCAACTTCAAAGTGGTCTAATATAGCCTAATCAAAAGGTCAATCGTTTACAGTTCACGGAGACGGGACCGTTTGGAGAAAATTTTGAAAATTTAACATCCGCATACGCGTTTTCCTGCTATTCCAGTCTGTGAATACAGCAACTTCAATTTGGTCCAATGTAGCCTACCTGGCTGACCCGAATTCCAAACAACCAATCAATCGTCGCGGGGTATGGGGGGGCCTCACCCTCCCGGAGAAAATTTTGAAAATCTAACCACCGCAAATGCGTTTTCTGCTATTCTAGCAGGTGTAAGCAACTCCAAAAGTATCCAATGGTTTTGTAACCGAAATCCCATTCTGAATTCCAACCATCCAATCAGACCGTTGCAGCTGCATTCACAAAAAATAATCGATGCTCGAAAAATGTCGCACAAAGTAGAGTGGCTCCAGACAAAATGTTTTAATCCATAGTCAACTCAGTACAAATTTGTGGTATTCAATTAAAAGAAAAGTAAAATTAGTGTTTTATTAGGGCTCAATGACAGTTAGGGAAGAAAAACTAGAAATGCCCGAAAAAAATTCAGGTTTACAGACAGCGGCACCGGTTTTCTTCGATAGGTGAAGAAGCAGAACTGACCTTGTATGGACCCCCAAAGAAAATTTTGGAAATTTCCTAGGCCGCAAACGCGTTTTACTGCTATTCCAGCCCGTAAAATTAGTGTTTTATTAGATTTCGGGCACTTTATTTTGCCAAGTAGATGAAATAAAAAAAAATTTTCTCACTTTTCCCTTCTGCCCGAAAAGTCAGCTTGCCCGAAAGTTAGCCCCCCCTGCCCCCCTGGCTCGTACGCCTATGATTGCACCTAAGGAATTTCAAATATTCAACTTTTTTGTGTAATACTTCCTTTATGAAGATAATTTTAACGTATCATTTTGCTCTACACCAAGTACATTAAATGATGAATATTATGGCTATGGTAGGTATGTGCTGAAAAGGTATATACAAATGAACAAAAACATCCCCTTGAGACTGAGATAGTTTTTGTCTCCTTGACTTTTAAAGAATGCAATGGACGAGTAAAATGGGTTTGTCTGTACCCTTGGGTACAGGTGGAAGTCATTAAAGAGAAGGCAGAATGCACCTGTCTGGGCTACACAATATGTTAAAACCCCTTTAATTTTATTCCACCTACTTTATAGCATATGTTTGAGTGAATGTTTATTTTAATTAAAATAATCAAGTTTATTAGAGATTATCAATCTAATCTATAAAACAAATTAATTATGACTGTTATTTCATAATAATATGAAGGATCTATAGAATATTAAAGTATATTTATCTTATGTATACTTGGAATGGTTAGAGTAACCTACCCTTTGGATTATTTGGTAAGACAATATTTGAAAACAATATTGGAGGAAAATTTGTTTTGAATCAAAATGATTTAAAAACAAAAATATATTTATAAGGTTGTCACAAATCTAGTTAAAATTTAAATCCTTAAAAGTTAAATCCTCATTGTCACTGTAGGCGAATAATCATTTACGTTATTTCAATTTTAAAAGACAGTAATTTAGAAAAATTACATTAAAATATCTCAGTAAGATGTATTCTTGACCTCAGTGATCATGGTTGCAATCAAGTTATTCTTCAATGGTTGACTGACGTTCTAAGACAGAAAAAATGATGTCAGTTGATGTCATTTGAAAGTAATGGGAAACTTAAGATGGCCTTAACTTACGTTATGATTAATCGATTTTAAAAATAATTGGACCAATATACTTTTTGATCCGACTGCTTTATATTACATATGGACTGAAAGTCTTTTTTTGCCATTTAGGTCGGGAATTTTTATTTTAATTTAGGTGGCAGATTTTGGGTTAACCAAATTAATTCAGCCAATGAGAGAAGAATGCCCACAAGATGATTGTTGTTGTAAGTTTTTATACATTTATAAACAACAGGCCTGGAAATGATGATTTTAATTGAACTGCCAGAAACTAATGGACTATTACTTGACATTATGAACTTTGTGCCGTACTGTTGGATATGTATTCAAAATGTCATTAAACATACAGACGAAAGGGCAAAACTGTTCCAGACAAAAGGGCAAAACTATTCCAGACATAAGGAACCAGGAGAATCGGTCTGTGACAGATGCCTTATTTCTAGGTTTGAAGTTGTTATACATTTATAAAATAACATTTTGTATTATCCACCCATTTCAAGATTTTCTGTATTATATAATGAATATTTCTTTTGATTTCCATTTCAAGATTGTTACAAATTTCGTATTGTATTTAGGTATGAGAGAATATAGTGCATGTCCAGCCATGTTGAGATGGACGGCACCAGAATTATTGAGTAATCCAACAGCCCAGGAAGATGATAACGAGACCGTTATCACGTCTAGTTGCGATGTTTATTCATTTGGTATGGTCATGTGGGAAATCTATATGATGGAGGAACCATTCGAGGATTTGAACACAGAACAAGAGGTGAGAGGTCAATCAAAAAAACATATTCCTGAAGCAATATAGTTACAAGTTTTATAAGCTTATTAACCATTGCTATATACTTCTGTGATGTTTCTGATTTGATTGATATACCCTTATGACAAGTTTTTACATCAACCCTGAGCTGGGCTTAACAACTTTCTCTAGGAACCTTTCTCTTGTCCCCAGTTGCTATGACTTCCTCAAGAACCTGTCCCCTGTTGTTATAATTTTCTCTTAGAACCTGTCCCATGTCCCTTGTGTATATAGGTTGTGTAGTACCATGGGTCGTCTGTCAGACGCGGAGAGCAGACAACAATAAAAAACGGTCGCCACATTCTACCTATGACCCATCCAGGCATCTTTTCTTACTACATATTTTAGTAGCCTTGTTATCGTCTAGTATTTTCATCTGTCGTCTTTGCTTCCACTTCACGTTGTGTATTCTCTTCTTCTTATCTATCTCAGTAGTTTAAGACGTTTGTCTTACCAGGAACAACAATGCAACAGTTCCTTTTTATACTTTATATATCAAGCTGCTTACATATGGTACAATGTATAATAGATTACAATAAGTCATTCTCTCAAACCCCATACAGCCAGACTGGCTGGGCGTGTCTGCTGATAGAAATTGCTACATCTTCCCTTTCTAGAATCCAGCTGCTGTCTGACAAATGTTCACAAATATGATAGTTTTGTAGGTTTGGGTTTTGGACCTTCAATTATCTAATTGGTCAAATATGATGTAAATAATTATAGAGATTGGTTAATTAAGCCAAATGATGCAATCGTAATTTTCCTATCACGTGTTAAACATGATATTCCAATCCTCACGGAACCAGCTAATGTTTTCCAAATTATAACTCTTTTTTTATATACCAATCTGTCACTCATTCTTGAGTGCATTAGATACGACTTAGCCAAGATATAAATTAATATAATGCTACTAACTAAAAGAGCAAAAATTCTACAAAAATTTTACATTTGTTTCCTTGTGTTTGTTGTTACGACTTTCTCTAGGAACCTGTCCCTTGTCCCCTATTGTTATGACATCTTTTGGAACCTTCCCTTGTACCTGTTATATATATATGGCTTTCTTCAGGGTCTGATCCCATGTTCCCTGTGCATGTTGTTAGGACTTCCTCTAGGAACTGCTCCCATGTTCCCTGTGTATATATGCTGTTTCCGTGTGTATGTTGTTATAATTTCCTCTAGGAACCGGTGACAGGTGACCGGTCCCTAGGACGGGTGTATGTTCAGTTAGTGGTGATAAGTACATGGGGGAACTGAAAATCAATTTCTTAGTATTTTTACTATAAACTTAACTGTATTAATTGTGTTTTACTGTTAAATTTCTTGAAATACCTAATTTTATGACATGTAAATTTAATTTCAAGCAATTTCACTTCAGATCAGTCAGGGCTGGCAAACATAACTGAAACAAAGGCCCTTGTTTGCAACATATATCAATTTATTATAAAGTAATTGCTGATGTATTTTGTAATTAAATATTTCTATAATCTATATTGTTCGTGAAAAACAATGAAAACAAATATTGATATTGGCAGTTCATTTAAACTAGAGACTATTACGAAAACTTAAACATTAAGGTTATTAGATTTCTTATCTTTTAATCTATCATTATTTTCATTTTATTATGTAATAATCTACAAAATATTCTTGATCACATTAAACATGCATTATGCAAGAGCTAAATCTGCCTATTGCAGGTCTTTCTTTAGGCCTGAAATGTTTTCTAAAGTATTAATTAGACATTAATTAACTGATCCAGGCGTTAATCAACTCTCGATGGCATCAGATTTCTCCGATATTAAATAGATTAGAATGGTTCAGCGATACTTAGATTTAATCAAATATGGAGGACCGAGACTTAGCTTCGATCAACCAGTACGGTGGTTGAAATTATTGCACACGTCTGTCAAACCTTCAAAGGCTAATATCTTCGCTTGCAATAGAGTAATTTGAATGAAATTTTCAAATTATTTATTTTACATCATCTACTTTCGAACTATGATAGCAAGAATGGCTAGTTCTTTATCTAAATCTTACATAATGTATCTTTAAGAAACTGTAATTTTAAAATGTAATTTAGTGAGGCTTCATTGATCAAATTTTCACAAATATGGATTTTCTCGTAAAAGACAAGACTATAAGGTTTCCAACGTTTTAATCCACAAAGCTTATCGGATTTTATTCCAAGATCGGAATGGATCAAATGGTTCCTTTGAAATCTTATTTTTGATTAGTTTGAACAGGTGTTATTACTCAAACATTAGATCGATCCATAGATGAAAAATTAAGTAGATCTAACACATTATCAAACTTTATCTTCCAAAGGTTCAAAGCTCTGGAATATTGATGTGACCCTTTGGCTACTGGTTACTATGAGCATCGGCTCGCTGTGTCCATTTTCTATTCTATGCTGTTCTAATAATAGAATTAAATGGGACCTGCAGTGTAATGACCCAGAGACAAGCCTAATGTAATGGATTTTAAACCATTTTGAAATAGGTCCCACATTTGGGTTTGTGTGCACAAAAATTTCCCTCATAGCACACTACATGGTGTATACTCATCCTCATTAGCATGGGGGGTGGGGTGGTTGATGGCAGAATAGTTAGCATGTGCGCGCTGTATCATAAAGTTTGTCATGAGTCAACTGGCGTGGTTTCGAATCCCCGGTTGTACGTGAATTATGGAAATGGAATTGAGCCATATTTTAATCCCGAAATGACCTAGTTGGTGTTGAGTGGACGTTAGACCCCATTTCTCTCTCATTAGCATGGTAGGAGAATAAAAGTAGGACGTTAAACCCCATTTTATTTCATTTCAGCACGTGAATATTTATAAATGAAGGTATACCATATAGTAAGTGCAGGAGGACCACACTACACGCAAAACAAAATCTACAAGATAAACCTGCGGACAAGACAGAATATAGACATTGCAAAAAATAAACAAATATCAAATCATATGAATGGATCCAGGTACCATATGTATTAGTTTTATATTGGTCAATGACTCTATTTTATGATAAATATATTTTAGATTATAGAGTTTGTAACAGCTGGTGGTAGACCGGAATTAACAGTCACACCAGATTTATTAGTTCAGTACAAAGATCTGATGGTACAGTGTTGGAGTCAGCAACCACAATTACGACTATCATCAAAACAGGTAGGTTAGGAGGTCAAAATACCTTTTTATTAATAGTGGTTCGGATGGGATGAAAAAACGAGTCTCGTGTACACATTAGCGTGCACGTAAAAGAACCCTTGGCAGTTTGAATAAGAGTAGGCCATAGCATGTGTATGTGAAAATACTTGGAATGTGGTGAAGAGTAAGCGCAAACACCACTGTCGGGGGTCAAACACCACTGTCTTTGCAAACACCACTGTCAAGTCAAACTTTTCCCCATAAACTACTGCGCAGCATATGCCCAACGACGTGCCCCAAAAGTTCTGATGATATATGTACCAATTAATTATATTTTATTCATACTTAAAACTATGATTTATCAAACCAATTATTTTTAGGATGTATTTTATAGGTTTAATGAGTTAAAAGTTATTCTTTTGAGTTAAATCATTATGAATTTCCATTATATTTTAGAATTATTAAACCATGCTTCATCAAATTAACCTGATTTCAAATATCTAATAATGGTTCCTTCTTCCTTGTCTTACTAGAAAACTTAAAGAGCACATCAAGTGACCCAACAAAATTTTCTGTAATTGTAGCCAGTGGTTACTATAATATGCACTTTACAACAAGTTCCCACCAATCTGGTTAAAATTGTTTGACATATTACCATTTAATAATAATAATAATAATAATATCTTTATTTTCAAAGGTGAAAAATTAGGCTTAGAGCCTGTTTACAATTTTGCCCTTTATAACAAAGAAATGAAAAAGACAGTAACAGAACAAGACACTTAACAAATACTACACCGTTTAAGTATCAGACACCCGAAAATACTTTTCAGTTTTTCGATTATAGCCATAATTTGGTTGATTGGTTAATTTTTAGTTGGTCAGGGTCTGAGGATCATGTGGCTAAGTGGGTAAGATGCTGGCTCGCTATCCTGGAGGTCGGGTGTTCGATCCCTGCATTGGCCGAGAAAGTTCATCGTTCGGATGGCACGAAAAACCGAGGTCCCGTGTATACATTGGATATGCACGTAAAAGATCCCTTGACAGTTGGAATTCGATATAAGAGTAGGCGATAGTGCCGCTGCCCGGGCAAAATTTCCCTCATATCACACTGTATGGTGTATGCCCGTCTTCATTAGCCTAGTATAGGAGCAGAACAGTAGGACGTTAAACCCCATTTCATTTCATTTCATTTTGGTCAGGGTCTTGATAAATACATAGACACTCTTGTACAAGGTTTTGTTTTAATTTTCGAAACTTATAATTTAGGAACTAAAAGCTTTTGAAAAGAAAAACCCAATACGTTTTGTTTTTAAGTTTTTTGAGGTTTTCCCAAGGAACAAAAGTTTAGATTGGTGTGGCCTATAAATAGACAATAATGTCACAAATTGGCTATTTACTCTTAATTAATGGCCAATGTTCATGTTATGAGGCTAATTACAGTATATAACCAACAGCCGATTTAAAAAATGAAATGGGGGTTTAAATTCAAATTAGTGTGGGGGGTTGGATGGCCGAATGGTTAGCATCATAAAGCCTGTCATTGAGTCAACTTGCGTGGTTTCGATTCTCCGGTTGTACGTGACAAAGAGTAGGGTCGCCTGTCCAATCTCGTGGGTTTTCCCCGGTCCTCTGGTTTCCTCCCACTGCTAAAGAACCCTACGTGCAAACGAATTATTGAAGTAAAATTGAACCATGTATTAGTCCCGAAATGACCTAGTTTGTCTCTCAAATTGATGTGGCCTAAATATAGATAATAATATCACAAGAAATCGACTAATTGCTATTACTTAATGGTTATTGTAATTATATGTCATGTTACAAAGTTAATTGCATTATATCATGAGCAGCAGATTAAAACAAATGAATTGGAATTTAATTTCATGTCCCACATTCGCCACCAAGCCAGCCACCATGCAGTGCACTATGAGGAAAATTTTACCTTGACGGCTGCTCAATTGCCTACTCTTATTTCAATTTCCAACTGTCAAGGAATCTTTAACGTGCTGTCAATGGGTTGTGACAAAGAACCTTGCATTTTTGTCCCCCGCCTTTCGAAAAAAGCAGGGGACTATTAAGATGGGTTCGTCTGTCTTGTCTAGTCTTGTCTTGTTTGTCCAGACGTCCATCCGTTCAGACGTCCATCACACTTTTTGGAACACAATAACTCTCCTTCTAATTGATCTAGAATGTTCAAATTTGCTGTGGGTGTTTATTGGGTCAATGCCTTGATGGAGTTCGAAGATGAGCATTTTCTGCTTAGGGTAAGCAGAGATAAGCAATTTGATTTATTGATGCTTTGGGACGCAATAACTTTAGTTCTAATTAAATGAGAGTGATGAAACTTGGTGTATACATGTAGTTTCATTATATCAATACCTTGACTAAGTTTGATAATGAGCATTTTCTGCTCAGGGTAAGCAGAGCAATAAGCAATTTGATTGGCCGAGACTTTGGAACACAATAACTCTCATTCTAATTGAGCTATAAAGTTCAAACTTGGTGTAGGTGTTTATTGGGTCAATGCCTTGATGGAGTTCGAAGATGAGCATTTTCTGCTTAGGGTAAGCAGAGATAAGCAATTTGATTGGTTGATGCTTTGGGACATGATATCTTTAGTTCTAATTAAGTGAGAGTGATGAAATTTGGTGTATAGTTTTATTTCATCAATACCTTGACTAAGTTCGATAATGAGCATTTTCTGTTCTGGGTAAGCGGAGCGATAAGCAATTTGATTGGTCAAGACTTTGGAACACAATAACTCTCATTCTAATTGAGCTAAAGTGTTCAAACTTGACGTAGGTGTTTTTAGGTGAATGCCTTGATGGAGTTCGAAGATGAGAATTTTCTGCTTAGGGTAAGCAGAGATAAGCAATTTGATTGGTTGATGCTTTAAGACAAGATAACTTTGATTCTATCTGATAGAGAGTAATGAAACATAGTGTATAATTGATAATCAGTTTCATTGCTTGATACTTTTGAAAAAAATAAATGTGCAATTCAACAAAGTCAATACAACAGTGCTGTCAGGATCTCAGTTGTTTATATTAAGACCTTGACATTGTATTTCGAGTGAAATTAAAAGAAAATTTAGATTTGTCTTTGTTTATTGTAGGTGGCAGTCAAGTTAAAAGAAATGATGCAGAATGCGAGAGCTTTTCAAAAATCATTAAAGAGCAGACAACAAAAGTCACAGCACCAGCAGACACCACCAGTGTAGCTAGTCAGACATTATGTGCAGATAACGGCTATACATAACAGTACTCATTTATATCTTCATCAACACTCATAACACCTGATCTTTACCTGTACAGATCTGAACTCAAGGATCTGACTGTGTTTATAAGTACCATTAGTCATATACCAATATGAAAAGTGTGAGAATCTTAAACATGGTAGTTGAAATGTCTGAAACATGGTAGTTAAAATGTCTGAAACATGGTAGTTGAAATGTCTGAAACATGGTAGTTAAAATGTCCGAAACATGGTAGTTAAAATGGCTGAAGCTGAAACATGGTAGTTAAAATGTCTGAAACATGTAGTTAAAATGTCTGAAACATTGTAGTTAAAATGAGACAAGAACATCAAAGCAGGTCTGTCGAAGTTATAACATAATGCAGTAGAGTGTCTTATTATCTTATGCTTTCAGTGATAAAAATGTGGCACCAGAGGATCCGTATGTGAAATGTTCAATGATATCCATGTGACACTTTAGATCACTTGTATGTGACACATACAGTTATAACCATGTGGCACAAGATCACCTGTAGGTGACACGTGCAGTGGTAACCATGTGACATGCACAGTAGTATTGATGTTATGCCAGATCACCTGTATGAGACATGTAGGTGACATGTACAGTGATAACCATGTGGCACCAGATCGCCTGTATGTGACACCACAAGATAACCTGTATGTCCCTTACAATGTCCATTTGTAATGTTTCATGAGTGTAATTAATTCAGGGAGAAAAACTCTCAGATCTTCAATAAAATGTGCACAATCCAGTTTTAGTCTTGAAAATTTGAAAACTATGTATTTGGAAATGTTTGTTGATAATAACTGCTAAGAGAATGGAATAATATCAAATCTGGAATCTGGCATTAATAATTTACCAATAATTTGTATATTAAAATGGCATTTTAATGATTTTTTTTAATTAATATTCATAATATTGATCAATATTATTAGTAACATTATATTGGGATACTCTATTGAATTTCCAGAATTGAATTCTCTGAATTCTTTGAAGAATATGATTTGAATAACCACGAAAATTTTGTGCCAAAATACATGTACGAACTGTATGATATTATACAATCTCTTTCTGGGACTGTCATGTTTTGTTTGGTTAACATAGTTACCATAGTTGCCGTAGTTACATCTGACATATTTTTTTTTGAAGATGGTGTTTTGAGAATTTTAAAATCCAATCTTATAAAAGGGAGTAGATCTGATGGGTTTTGGGTTATAGTATGACAGGTTGATACACAAGTTTCACTGCTAGAATATGTTTGTGATAGAAAGTTGGCTAGATTATGATGTAGCATTAGGGTAATTTATAAGCCACCATTCCCTTTAATATAACCACACCTCAACAAAAATAATTCTTGGTAATTTGTTATAGAGAATGTTGTATTCTGAATAGGCACATATATGTGATTACAACAAAAAGTAACGACAAATAGGTAGTAATAGTAATATTCCTGAATAAATTACTGCCTTCGTTTATTCGATGAATAAGATATATATAGTTCCGAAGCTGTAGTCAAAAAAAGCTGATAAACCATGGCATTTCTTTATATTTGACACAAATTATTACATTTGAGGCTAAAATATTCACTGAGGTAATTTCTTTGTATTGAAGTGAAACTACGTGTTGACTGATGCACACTATCTTTGTATTGAAGTGAAACTACATGTTGACTGAAGCACACTATCTTTGTATTGAAGTGAAACTACATGTTGACTGAAGCACACCATCTTTGTATTGAAGTAAAACTATATGTTGACTGAAGCACACCATCTTTGTATTGAAGTAAAACTACATGTACTGATATTACTAACAATACAGTATTCAGTTATATGAATATCTCAGTAATCTATAGAACAGTCTTAACCTGTAAACAGTTGATATGCAGAGCCTATAACTGATTGTGTATCTTTGTATTACTAACAATATGGTATTCAGTTATATGAATATGTCAATGACTTATAAAACTATAAAGATTAACCCTGGCCTGTAAACAGGCCTGGAAATAATGGTTTTAGAAGGACATTACAAAATGTGAGGCACTAATGAAATCAAATAGTACCCGAGATTTTCAACTCAGTGCCAGACATGTATTAATAATATCAATAAATCTGTGCCGGGCAAAATGACAGACACCAGGCACCAGAGGTTTAGTGCCTGACAAAGCCTGATTCTATGTGCCAGACATTGTCTGTGACAGGGGCCTTATTTCCAGGCTATACAGTAAAACAAGTGGTTTCTTTATATTGTTAAGGTAGCTGTATATAGCAGATGTTTGTATAGCATGTTGAATGGTACACTAAAATTATGAACTTTGTATGCATGCACTGCCAATATTTTTTTCATATTGTTCCCGCATTCCCCCTAAAAATGTTGTTAATGCACTCTGATATCCATGTAACTAAATGAAAAATAACAAAATATTTATTAAAATGATATTTACTAAAGCCAACAAAATATACTCTTAAAAAAAAATAGGGGATATTGAAATTACCATGGACATTTGACATGCTTTGAGAGTATGTTCACAGATGAAGAACTTATCGCCCCAACAGAACCACTGAGCTGCACATGCGACACGCAATAGCGCCATACACGTGGGAGGGGTTCATTGTCAAATTTGACACTTCAAGGAAGGGTTGATGAAAACTTCCAAGTACTGGTTTATCTATCCATGTTTGCTTTCCTATCGGTTCTTGCATAAGATTTACTGTTTAGCGTATCTTTGCTTTAGTGTGTTACGTTTAATTTGATCGGGAGACATGTTCGTCGACGTCAACGTCAACCGACAACTCTGCAAGAATTGACCCTGGCACTGCAAGAGGAGTGGGTCGGATTGCCCCAAATCCTGATTGGACACTTGATTAGGAGAATGCCACGACGAATTGCTGAATGTCTGAGGATTGGTGGAGCATTTACTCATTATTAAGACAAAAATCAAAAACGTCCATTTTCACTTTTGACGGCTTATCTTTTTGCGAGTGAAATGGGGTCGTCATATAAGCCGCCCATATGAACTGTTTATGTTCCTGTGTAGGCAATTGGCCTGTTATTAACATACACTGGTTAGCTCTAATGAAAACGGCAGTGCATTTCCACAGTTTTATATTGTTTCTGAATATCCCCTACTTTTTTGGAATAGTATATTTACTAAAACCAACAAAATGCCAACAAAATATTTACTAAAGCCAACAAAATACTTACAAACAAGTATGTTAGTACTGTGGACTAGGAACCGAGAATGAGGTCATCACTGCCAATGGTACCGCCATATCAAAATTGATGCACAATTGTCCAAGGAACAAGCAGGACAAGTTTCACGTCAATCCTACTGGAATATGTGGAGCCTTAGGGTTTATATGAAGAACAAGATGAGTTGTGCTTGCGTACCAGTTCCTAGTCTATAAATAGTCATGAATCTGCACGTTAGTCGTTAGAAGTTCTACTATTTTGACTATATTCAAATAACGCTGGTTATTGTCACTGTATGTCCCAGTGTGCATATATATGTTTATTTTTTTTTATATACATGAAACATAAGAAACTTTCCAAGCCTGGAAATAACAGTTTTAGATGTACCTGACAAAATGTGAGGCACTAATGAAATAGAACCTAACATTTTCAACTTAGTGCCAGACATGCATTGATAATATCAATAAAAACGACAAATCAGTGTCGGACAAAATGACAGGCACCTGATATTGTCTGTGACAGGTGCCTTATTTCCAGGCATGATTTATTTCACATTTATAATCCTATCTCAGGCTGAATTATCTTATTAATAATATATTGTATATAAATAGTCATTATAATTGTACATATTAAGTATAGCTGGAAATAAAATTTATATATATATGTATTAACATATTTCACTGAATAACTGCATATCGACTAAAATCATTGATTTAGTAATTAAAATGACGGTTAACCAGCTGAGTGTCTGTTCTCAATTGAAGCTAATTGTAGATGGATAGCGAAAGTTTAGTATTAATCTGATTAAAATACAAATCTATATTTCGTTTCGTTTTTTTATACTTTCGATGGCCTACTCTACATGAAGATCTGACCAGTTGTAGTGGAAGGTTGCGTCAGAGGTCATACGAGCGACATTTGACCCTATGACATCAGACATTTGATTAACCAATCAGCATTGATGTTTTTAGCCTGTTACCCACAGTTCCGCGCACCTCAAGCCAAGAACTTGCCGTAACAGACCGTTTCATTGGCTAATACCTCACGGGTTATATAACAACTCTTCCAGATCCTAGTTGAGTAGACAAGTAAAACAAAATTTTAAACTATAAAAAAAACGAAACGAAGTAGGACCTGTGTTTGAATCAGATTGGTTTAGTATGAGGTGTTGATTGTGTTGAATATTAATTAGCATATTTACTATTATCCAGAGGTTATTTTTAAAAATAGTACTAGAACTATGTGAGAGAGTCACAGTAAGATGCTGGCTCGCTAACCAGAAGGTCTTGGGTTTGATCCTGGTGTTGGCTGAGAAAGTTTCTCTGGATTTTCCACGCCGGTTTGCCCTTGTCAGTCGTTCAGGAGGGAGGAACTAGCAAGGAATAGCATCATAAAAGAACACTTAACATTTCAAATTTACAGCTGTCTGGGTAAAACTTTCTCTTTAGCACACTGGTTGGTGCAGAAATATGGGATGTTAAATCCCATTTCATTTCATGTAGTGTCCAATCAAATATTTGAAATCTGTTGATTGGGCTATTTGATACTTCATTGTGAGAATGAAAATAAAGCCGTAATAAGAATGGTTGATGAATGAATATCTAGTCTGGATTCATCTTAGTCTTGTTAGAGAATTCAATTTCACCGTATTCCTCATTGTATTAATTAAACTATTAGTGAGGGAGTGTGTTTTCCCCCTTCATATCTGACGATCTGAGATATCAAAAATTGATGTTTGTACTTTTCCTTCAAACTCATTGAAGCTTAGGGTGATAATATGTTTATGGTTAAGAATGACCGTTGAAAGTAGGGATTGAAAGTAGAGATCGTGGACATTTGAATATTAAAAATTTGAGTCATCAAAAATATTTTAAAGCTTGGGACTGAGGTAGTCGAGGAGTACCAGATTTGAATATTTTGTTGACATGAGATTTTGAACTGTGGGATGAATTGAATACCGTACTTAAATTAAATATGAAAATAGCGAGGTTCAGCTATTTTTATTCTGAGTGGGATTTGAAATTTTGTCGACATGTGATTTTTAATTGTGGTATGAATTCTTCTGCTTAAATAACGATAAGAGTCATGCCCCTTTATTTTTGGTAAAATGTCCGACAACAAAAATTTTGAAATCCAATCACTGATGCCTTGAATTTTCAAGTAGAATTTACCAGGTTTGAGGGGCTATGAAGAATTTGTTAAACCCTGTTCCCACATGTTAAGGGAATATGTACACAAGTGAACCTCAATTTTTGTCCCATCTGAATGACTAGGCACTAGCCTATTCATTGCCTAGTCATTCAGATGGGAAAAAATAAAGAGGTTCAATTGTGTCCACATCAGAGTGCCCATATAAGACATTCATCAGTTAGAATTCTATGAAGAATGGGAAGAAAATTTGCTGTCTGGGGGGCAAAATACTCTGCACAAGTGACTGTGACTGTATGAAAAGAACCCAAAGCCTTTGTTGGTCGCAAAATAACCAAAATGTTTAATGAGATCTTAAACCCGATTCCTATTCAGCCATATCATTCAAGAACTGTTAATGATAGTCCCATGTTAACATAAATATGTGTTCAATATTCATTCAATACATCATAAGAATTAATATTCTTCATCAATTTCTTATGAAAGTCACACTCACAGAATATGAATCCCTTGTAAACAACAATATAGTAAAAGTTAAATTTCTAAAATGGTTATCCGTTTGAAATTGTTTCAGTTCCGTTCAGTATTTACAAAGATGAAGAATGGGAAATTTCACAATATTCTGCAGACGATGAAACAAGCTAACGCCTCTCGGAATCTTTTCATTCATTTCAGTCCATACTAGTAGATTATCTACCATTAATATTTTGATTTTGTTGTTAAATTATTAATTTGAGTAAATTTAACGTGGATCAAACAGAAAAAAAAATCAGATATTGTACGAAAAATATGTGATCTGGATAAACGTCTATAAAATGAATACGTGACAAGGAGTAGAGTCACCTGTCCAACCTCGTGGGTTTTCTCTGGGTCCTCTGGTTTCCTCCCACTGCTAAAGACCCCTACGTGCAAGTGAATTATTGCAATAAAACTGAACCATGTGTTAGTCCCGAAATGACCTAGTTTGTGTCGAGTGGACGTTAAACCCCATTTCTCTCTCACTCTCTGTTGGTCTCTGACCACACACAGTTCCCTTGTCACAGTTGCAATCCAGTTTTTAAATTTTACATGAGCTTGAAGAAGCAGCCTATTGATTTTCAAACCTCATTTTGAAATAAGGCAAGTAGACTATCAAAACGTGTAAAATAAGATTTCAATTCTTAGTTGATGCCAGGCAGAGAAGGTCATGAGATTTATTTGTAGAGTTATTTCCCATGTAAATGTATAACAATGCAAATTTGATTTTTAATTGCTGGAACACTTTGTTAATGTGCACCTATGTTTTGTTGTCTGGCAACCAATATTAATGATATTAAGAGTATGGATGTTGATGTTATTCTTGCTTTAACCTTTTAGCACATTTAAGGCATATATAGAAAGACCTGCAGAAGGCAGATTTAGCTCTTGCATAATGCATGTTTAAGGACTGCACACTAGCTAGTTCTGTGAATTTTGTGTGCAGTATTGCAAATATTGAAGCAGACTTTAAACTTCCAACCACTACTACTAGTAGTTCTATGATATAGGCAACTTAGCGCGGTCTATGGAGCAGTAGTTTCGGGCCATTTAAAAAATGAACTACAAAACTCAATTTAAAAAAACTCATTATTTTTCGAAGAACTGGGGTAGTCAAATACTTATGTGTACCAGATGCTAAAAGGTTAATTATATTTATGTTAATAAATGGATATATTTCAATAAGGCATTAAATTGTTGTGTAATATAGCCAGCCGGTCAGGTACCTGAAATTATTTATATTAATTAAGAATTATATGAAAACATATGTAACCAGTTTATAATAGCATTTATTTCTGTATTAACCCTTGTAGAAACACTGCAATAATTGTACATTTAAACCAATTCGATACGTCATGATAATAAAATATTACAGCCTTTCTAAACATTATCCTTTATCTTATCAATTTTACTACCTATTTCCATGTTGTCCTTATAAAATGTGTCTAATGCAAAGTCGTAGACAGGTTTGATATTCGACGTTTGGAGGTGAGCATATAGAAAAAGTGTCATACCATGTTCCCTCTGCAATGTTTAGAAGTCAGTGTGGACAAAAATCTTATTGTATGCAAATTTATGTATTCCTGTGACAATGGTATGTATGCAAGATATAAACAAATCTAAACCAGAAATTGATGCAGTGACGCGGTGGTATTGTGGAAGTATCTCAGAACAAGAATATTATTTTTCTGTGACCTTAAATATGTGGGCAAACTAATTTCCTTGTGGCAAAAGGTGTGCATACACACAGCTGATATGGAGCAATGGTGCTATGACATAATTCTAACCTACATTAACTTCATGTTTCAGTAATTGCGTGGCTCAGTGTAGCGCTGACTCAGTAACCAGCAGATCCCAGGTTCAATCCTGATGTTGACTGAGAACAGGGGAGCCACGGTGGCTCAGAGAGTAAGACATTGGCTCGCTAACCTGGAGGTCCCGTGTTCGATCATTGGGATTTTCGGGCTTGATTCTTCCATGTCAGTGGTGCAGAACCAAGGGCCTGGCAAAGGATAACGTATAGTCGTTCTGAAGGGACGAAAAACCGAGGTCCTGTGTACACATTGCCGTGCACGTAAAAGATGCCTTGTTTCCCCTAATCAGTAGCACAGCGTCTAATCATTTAGTTGACATGGATAACTGAGGTCACTGTGTACACATTGGAATGTTCAGGCAAAATGTCTCTTGTAGCATACTGCATGACATGAGCTGCTCATCATCATTAGCCCGAATGATACAGAAACCCCATTTCATTTCAGTTCAATAAATGTGTCATTATGCATGAAACTTGCATCTTAGGTTGTGACTTGTGACATTGGATAAATGAAAGTCCACTCCCGTGGGATCATCCAGTGTCAGAGACAGAGTTGTTTTGGCCCCGGCCTGATGATGCCAGTGAGTGCCAATGCATCACAGGAGATTAAGTAGACAGTTCAAAACACTGGGAGATTGGCTGAATAGAGTCCACAGACCTCTAACATATGGTCCAGTGTGCAAGGTGAAGGGAGTGCATTTTGCTTGGACAGTAGCGTTTTACTGAACACAAATATGTACATGGGTTAACAACATTAGTAGGGTTCCATTCCAACCCCAGTCTTCCATAGCCCAGACGGTACAGAATAAACCTCATTTCATTTCCCATTCCAACCACTTGGCCACTTTCTTTGTGAGAGAGAGACAATTGAAGTTTAACATCCATTCAACACAAATATCCAGCTCTTTATCTAAATCTTATGCATCCTGGCAATCACTGTACAAGTCGGATTTTTTAAAAAAAAATTTCAGTTTTCTGGGTTTACATTCAAGAGTTGTGCACCTATTTGTTATTTGTAGGGTCATCAAAACCTGGTAAACACTAAGCAGATTGGAGTTTTTAAATTTGTATTTTTCTATTGTGGTAGTAAGTATATTGTTGTTACCCCTATTTGTCCACCCGTCCATTCACAATCCTTGTAGTCACTCTTACATGTTAAAGTTTTTGAGATTTTTTGCCAGGATTGTTTAGTACTAAGAAGGAACCCTAAATCAGTCACGAAACAATATTTAGAAGAGTTAATGCCATTGAAATGTCCGAAACAGATCAGAGTGTCAGATTCCTTTTTCAAACTTGCTTAAGTAGGCCATTGTTAGGAATTGTCCTTAGGATTCCTACTGAGTCGCACATAAGATTCCATGGTTACCGCCCGTGTGACCTAAACCTTCTAAACTTGTAAAATCTGTTGACCTGTGGGCCAAAGTTTATAAAGAATTCGTTCAAATTGGTTGGGATCGTTCAATTTGTCATTACGAGAGACCTAGCTTATCTTCTGGGCCCTTATTCACGAAAACTTAAACTAAGTTACAACCGAAATTTTAAGAAATACTGCAACTTCATTGGATATATGCAAATTGATTTTACTGGTCAGCCTATCGAATTGCAGTATTTCTTAAAATTTCGATTGTATCTTAGTTTAAGTTTTCGTGAATAAGGGCCCAGGGTAGCATGTTGATTTTTGTGCAGTTATATGTTAACACTTGCTGTAATTGTTTGACTAGTCATAGGTACGGTACTGTAACCCTTGATTAGCGAATCACTTCTACGCTGAGTTGTTACCCCTGTCGCTGAAACCTGTTAGAATGATATGCCAACGCCACATTAATTCAGACTGATTGCCCCTTGAGTTTGATGAGAACCTTTTCATAGACATGTGAAAGTTTTTAAAAAAATTGAAAACTTGTCAGCAATGTCAGGATTAGTTTGATTAGCCTTATATATATATATGTATATGAAAATTCCATTGAAATTTAATTTATTCTATGATGAAATATATATTTGAACTATTGCAACAGTTCACAAAAGTGTACTAAATCAGACACCTATTTCTGATTAGATTCCCTGCACTTACTATTATAAGATAACAATGATGCAATAAAGCGAAATAAATGATTACTATAAAATGTTCGTTTTGTTTGTTTTTATCTTCAATCCAAAATTTACCACCATAATTCGTTTCCGGGTGAAAGTTCACGCGAAATCAACATGGCATCCGAACTCGTGGATTTGTTTGTCGGCATCGGTTTAACCGAACAGAAAGCTAAAGAAACAATTAAAAATGAACAAGTTTCGAAGAATTTAAAAGGAGCTATCGATACGGTAAGTTGTAAAAGAAATGGGATTTCGTGGTTATTCGAACTTTCACAGTAGAAGCTATTTTAGTGCAGCATACGATGAACACGGAGGAATGATGAAATCTCTACTTTCAATTTCTTAATATCTCAAATACACGGAAGCAATAAATCAAATTTTGGGCTTCTTTAAGCCGTCGATAAAGATGTCACTATTTTCTGTACTCTTGCAAAAGAAAATGTCATTGATGTGATCACTTCAGATGTGCGATACACTGTATGACAAAAGAGCTCATAACAACAGGAACCTTAATTAAAGTTAAAGTAGCCAAGTCTCTAACTCAATATCATCCAAAATCTTCAACATTGAAAACACAAATTATTTGTCAATTTAAATCAACATTGATGCTGTGATCTTACCTGAAAAAGATAGGCTTCTGATATCCAATATTTAAGACAAAATAAACATTTTACCAGTGGTACACAAATCGTGTACCATATGATAAGGCGTTTCAGCCCCAGTTCTAGCAAGAGACTCGAGGAACGAGGCTAGACATATTGCACCAAACCAAACGGCGTATGTAGACTGAAATAACCAGGCGCTAGAAATTTGCATTCGATTGAGACTGCTGGCTTATTTCGCAGAACATAACTGATTTGAAATTGAGTAAAAACGGAAACCATTGAATGTATATCAGTTTATATACATTCATATTACAGTATTATACGAGTTGCGACCCACTTGTGTCTATTTCTAGGTCCCAAATGTTAGCGATTAAGCTCCTTTAAGTTAATTTATTAAAAACTTTTAACGAATAGTTTAAAGGATGTAACTTTCTGTTGGCAGGAGTGGATGTAAATCCTTATAGATATTGTAGGACTCAGCATAGATAATATTGTATTACATGTACCTATGGTCTCAACCAATGAAAGAGTCGCATTCTTAAAATATTTTAGTTTTCATGAAGGATTGAGTAACAGAGTAGAAATTAAAACAACAAACAATATAGCAAAAAGTGAGATGATGTTACATTCACATCAGAATACATATGTTGATTTTTTAAACATTTTTATTTCAGGCCAGCAGTGTCTCAAATGGGAAAGATCTGAAAGAAGTTGGCAAATTGTTATATCACATAGCAACTAAATTAAAGGCTCAAATAAAGAATAGACAGCCATTGTTGGTAGAATATGTCGTTAAGAAAAAGATCTCCTCAGAAAACCAGCTTAATGGTAGGGCCCCTATTGAATTGTTTCACATTTTTATATATTTGTATTTAGTTATAATATATATATGCTTACATATCCCTGTACATCTTGGACTTCATATCAAAGTATCTCAGGAAAAGAAAAACTTAAAGTAAAGTATGTTCTGGTTCATGTATCATAAATATACCATTAAATATCTCTACATGATATTTTATTTAGTATAATATTATATTTAATAATCTTATATATATATATATATATTACTTAAGGGTGTGGCGATTAAGCAAAACTTGAACCGGTTAGTCAGCGGCTAAAAAAACGAACCAATTCGGTTTAGTCGGTAATGAAAACTAACTGAAAAATATTAGTCTTCCATAGTCTACAATACACGCTAATATACTGGCCTTTATATACGGAGCTTAAAACTGTAATGGCGACATACATACAGTTCTATGTTTTATGTGTCCAGTACATTAAAAAATTTGGTTTTGTTTGTACTATGTAGTTTGTTCAAATCTCCTGTTTAACCTTTTTGATAAAAGTAATAAATACAACATATAAAAAACTTCAAACAATGACGTATTGATCAATAATATTAGTAAGCGTATCTGGGCATCAGCTCAGTGCGCATGCCTATTGACCTAACCTGGAGGATTGCTTGTTTCTGATTGGGCACTTCAACCATTGACCTTAGCGACCGACCAATCAAATAACGTATTCTTAAAATAACTTCATTAGGTATGCAAAAACACACTCGCTTGTAATCGCGAGAATATTCACGACCGATTACGGAATATAGTAAATTAGTATATACTGTCTCGTTATTATTATTGTCGACCATTTATCAATGATGTAGCTTATTGCTTATTCGCCCCCATAATTGTCGATCGTTAATACATGTATCTTTTTAAAAAAAAACCATGTTATAATATTCGGGCGACTGGTTTATATCATGCTGTATTTTTTAGACGACTATCGATTTCCCGAAACTTGAACCGGTTTATAGGTAAAACCGAACCGACCCTGACTAAACCGACTAATAGTCACATCCTTAATATTACTATATAAACATGTTATGTCTATGAATTGTCATATTCCGAAAGCAATGGCCCGAGAAATCCCTCTCTGGCCATTGCTGGGTTGGCTTTTGATACTTGAGCTTTTGAGGGAGTTTGTCTATTCTTCCCGTTCAATCAAATCTAACCCAAGTACAGCAACATGACAGCCCTTCGTTTAATCTGGGTCTTCCCTAAAACTTTGCACAGTGGTTTATGGTATTAAAAACGGTGAAAGTATGTTCGTCTCCAAACAGTATTGTTTACATTGTTTCAATTTGATAGTCTCGTATGTCACACAATTAGTTTTTCTGCAATATTCTACTATGCACTGGTTAATTGGGCATAATAAAATCGTGAGTCATGATGTAACGTTATGTAAACATATTTGGTCCAATTTGGAGATCTGTTTTAAGCGTAATGCTTTTGTAACGCAGTTAGTTATTGGTTGTTATTCGGACCATTGACCAGTCATAATTTGGAACAGAAATTTGCTTTCGTTAAAGCAGTGTTTATGGGATTAGGTATAATCAAACGAAGCACTGCAAAAAGTATGATGAATTGTATGCGACCTGAAATGGGTGTTGAAACACAATAAAATCATATGTCTTTTATTTTTGTGGGATTATCCTCAAAAGTAATACCAAAAACTTGAATGTGTGTTTTCCACTTTCAATTATCTGTTTTTCCACTTTAAATCATCTGTTTTTCCATCCGATATAAACAATTACTAAATAAATTTTTCTTTGTACAATTTTTAGCTGCCATGGAGTATTTGCTGTCCAATCCTGTGGATAAAATTGATATAAAGGAGTTTGAGAAGGCATCTGGTGTTGGTGTGGTTATCTCCCCTGAAGAGATAGAAACAGCTGTGAGTATGGACTTCTGTCAAAAGAGTTTTCTATGAATATTAAAAGAAAATCAGAGTTACCAGTATTTAGAACTACTGATTAGTTTTAACTTGTTTTCTTATCAGATTCTCAATATTTTCTCTTATGTTTTCAGGTGGAGGAGGTGATTGGAAAATATAAAAATGATCTCATTGAAAGTAGATATAAATTTAACACTGGAAAATTACTTGGTAGGTGTATTGTCTTACATAGACTTGTATGGTGGTTAATGTAGAATTTGATGTACTAAAGACCTATAGCTAGGAATGGATGAAAAACCAATTGGCTACAAGTTAAAGATTCCCTGAAGTTGGAAATCGAGGAAGAGAAGCAGAAACACTGCTGTCGGGGCAGTTTTAACTCGTAGCACACTGCATAGCTTATGTCCAGTTGATGCAGAATAGTAGGACGTTGAACCCCATTTCATTTCTTACATTCTTAATAACCACTACATTATATTCAATCTTAGTATTTAGATATTTTACTAATGAAGAGAATATTATTAAAGTTGAAGCAAGCTTAGTATTTAGATATTTTACTAATGTAGAGAATAGTATTAAAGGTGAAGCAATCTTAGTATTTAGATATTTTACTAATGTAGAGAATAGTATTAAAGGTGAAGCAATCTTAGTATTTAGATATTTTACTAATGTAGAGAATATTATTATAGGTGGCACAATCTTAGAGAATAGTATTATATGTGAAGCAATCTTGGTATTTAGATATTTTACTAATGAAGAGAATATTAATAATGGTGAAGCAATCTTGGTATTTAAATATTTTACTAATAAAGAGAATAATTATTCTAGGTGAAGCCAAAGGTAAATTAAAATGGGCTGATGGGAAAGCTGTAAAAAATGAAGTTGACATGCAGGTAGATATACATTTTGTTTATTTGTACTAGTGTCACAGTTTGAATTAGTGCAATGCACTGTATATGAAAATTCTGTACATTGTTTTTATACATCTAAATTTGATAGAAGTGTAAAGTTGTTGCTGCACGCTGTGTATAAAAATTCTGTATATTGTTTTATCACATTGGTAGAAGGTAATTTGATCTACACTGCTGTATATTGTTTTATCACATCGGTTCAGTAGATGGTAATTTGATCTATACTGCTGTATATTGTTTTATCACATCGGTAGATGGTAATTTGATCTATACTGCTGTATATTGTTTTATCACATTGGTAGAAGGTAATTTGATCTATACTGCTGTATATTGTTTTAATATCACATCGGTAGACGGTAATTTGATCTATACTGCTGTTTATTTTTGTAGATTTTAGATTTACTGGGACCAAAAACAGATGCTGATTTAGAAAAAGCTCCAAAACAAAAGGTAATAATTCTAACACATGGACCTTAACGAAGACACATAAATCAATACAATAAACAAAATGCTTGGGGTTTTTTTGTAATGCAAAAAATTGATATTTGATTTTAAAAATGACATCATGTTTGTTAGATTCCTCCAAATAATGGCAAGCAGTGTGGGGTCTGAGGCAGCTCTAGATGGCCTTACTAGATTATTTCTTTGATTGTGTTTAGAGTAAACATTTTGTCTATATCAAATAAATTGTCAGATATTAATGAATAAACAACCAAAGTTGAAGACGATTTTGTTAATTATTATTGTGATTGCAGGCTCCGAAACCAGCGAAGACGGCGCAGGACAGTAAAACAGATGTTCCAGCTTCTACGGAAGATTGTAAGACATTATTTATAATATTTATAAAGATATTTATTGCTACAATCAAAGTTGTTACTTAATGATATCAGTTAACAGTTTATCAAGAAAACTGGGTGGGGGGTTTGGATGGCCGAATAGTTAGCATGTGTGCACTGTATCAAAAGGTCTGTCATTGAGTAACTGGCGTATTTTCGATTCCCTGGTTGTACATGGCAAGGAGTAGGGGTGTCTGTCCAACCTCCTGTGTTTTCTCTGGTTTTCTCCCACTGTCAAAGACCCCTACGCGCAAACAAATTATTGAAATAAAATTAAACCATGTGTTTGTCCCGAAATGACCTAGTTTGTGTCAAGTGGAGTTAAACTTTACTTCAGTAAATGATCGGCCTCAAAGAAGGCATCTTCTAAAGTGATTACAAAACGGTTCTGATGCACATTGACTGGTAGGTTTATTTCATGTGGTAAGATGATAACGAAATCAGTAATTATTTTTCTGATTATGATTTGCTTCTTTACGATTTTGACTAATGAATTATTTAACCCTTGTCGGTGCACATTGTGAGAATCACATATCAGGTATCAAGGGGTCCATATGGACCCCAGTTATAATTCAAAATTTTTACGTACAGATATATCTGAATTAAAAGGCATTCATATTTGACAACTGAAAAACAACTAAATTATTATACAAAAAGATTTTAGTGACATTTGGAAAAGATTTAATAATTCTCACAAAATTGCTACTTTGTGTACTATGTGATAAAGAGGTTAAATGGCAATTCACGCTTGATACAAAAATCATTGAATATTTGGAATTCACCATTTAATTCATCATGCAGGTGTTAAAAGAGAGAATACTCTGGCATACGCATTATGGTATCAGGCAGCAAACACATTAGCAAAATCCCTACTGTGAGTTGTAAGTTAGGGGTCTGATTGGACCCCTTGTTCCCTTCAAGCGTTGGGCCTGATTTGCATGTAACAGAACTCTGCATGTGGGAAGCAGATGAATACTGAACTCTTTGCTACGTGTAAAAATGTATAGGAGACAAAGACACTAAATTTCAGAAAGCAGTGCCCAGTAGTTATTACAAAACACTATAAAACATGTGCATGTGGTCCACGGAGACCCCACGTGCACCGACAAGGGTTAATTGTATTTTATTCATGATTTATTTGTATATTAGTTATGGGAGCTGATGGACATGTTAAAAGTTTTATGGACTTAATGGGTGATGCTGTCAAATTCCACAAAACAGGTAAATACTAAAGTAATTAATATAGCGTATTAAGAGTTGTTGATGACCAAGTATTTTAAATGATCTACAGATCCAGGTCATTTACCTGAAATAATGCAGATCTCAGTTGATTAATCTGCTGTGTGGCCACTCTCAGTAGAAATGGTATCTACTGCAAAATTTAATAAGTCAGACTTTTCATGTGTTCACATGAGTTTGAGAATTAGTCTCCTGTCTAATCTTGTGTGTAAGGTTTGTTCTGATGCTAAAGAGCCTAGTGTGCAAACATATAAATTATATTCTGAATTTCTTACTAGTTACTATGGTCGCCAGCTTACTGTGCCTATTTCTTTTCTAGGCTCTTCTAATAATAGAATGACACATGTTAACCTCGCCCAACGGAAGGTTTATGTAGTGTGTGAGGAATGACGATGATGAAAAAGTTAAAAATCCAAATTTAACTGTCTCCCCTTCTATGTAAACCTTAAAGTTTATTTTTATTGTTTTTCCACAGGAGAGAATTATAAGACTGATGGATATGTTATAACTCCCAACACGATGGATATTCTTAAAGAACATCTGAAAAAAACGGGGGGAAAGGTAATTTTGCATAATCATTAGTGCTCACACAACTATTCAAATGTTCAGATTCAAGTAATTTCTAGGGGTGTTGGAAATCATTCAGCAGGATTTATTATTCAATATCAGGAATTTAATAAGTTTTTGTTTTCAATGTGCCAAAAGATTCCGAAATTGATCACATGCACGTAATCCAATAACATTTAATAACTTAAGATATTCAAATAGTAAAATCAACTTAGATTGTGACCTCTTATAATCATATAGGGGGATTGGATGACCGAATGGTTCGCACATGTGCGCTGTATCATAAGGTCTGTCATTGAGTCAACTGGCATGATTTCGATTCTCTGGTTGTACGTGACAAGGGTAGGATCACCTGTCCAACCTCGTGGGTTTTCTCTGGGTCCTCTGGGTCCTCTGGTTTCCTCCCACTGCTAAAGACCCCAAGGCACAAGTGAATTATTGAAATAAAATTGAACTATGTGTTGGTCTCAAAATGACCTAGTTTTTGTCGAGTGGACGTTAAACCCCATTTCTCTCTCTCTCGCTCTCTCTATAATCATGTACATGTAGATCTATATAAACAAATTCAAATACGAAGAAATTGGGCATCCTGTTTTTCCGCCAACCCAGAATTGTAATAAATACAGAAACTGAAATTTTGTTCCAAATAGCCAAAAAAAACTAAACTGCTAACTTGAAGACACAGTCATCAACATCTTGCACTCTTGTAAACCAAAAACTATGGTCAATTTGTTTCCATGGAAACACAAAAATTATTAAATTCGAAACAGTTTTAATTAGCAAAAGCTACAACTAATGTGACAAATTATCTGGAAACAAAGAAGGATGAATGATCCCTCTTATAAGTCCATTCAGCATGGGATAAGGCAGAACAGAAAATGGGATATTTACTATACACACACTTTAGAAATATGTTCTGCTGGTAATTTCAGGTTTACACACGATTTCCACCAGAGCCTAATGGTATTCTTCATATTGGCCACGCTAAAGCTATCAACTTTAACTTTGGTTATGCAAAGGTGGGTCACTTATTTTTCAGTGAAACTGATTCTTTGAATTGATACTAAAGGTGTTTGTATTCTTTTAAAAAGACGACTGCAAACTCTGTTTTAATAATATATCAATAGTTTGTTAAAATCTAAATATCAACGGTAGATAATCTCCTGGCTTAGATTCAGCTGGAATGAAAAGAGGCCCATCAATAGATTGTAAAAAGGATTATTTGTGGTACTGGCTTTTGATCATATCCAATTTATTTCATCTGCAAAGGATGCTGAATGCTAACAAATTTTCAATTCATAATAACTTTGTAAATACTGAATGGAATTGAATCCATCCTCGGTATCCCCAGTAGTCTCATTCCTTTATATTGCACTGTACACTGGGTTCATCCATGGGGTGTTCACACATTCAAATTTTCTGCCCTTGATTGTAGCTTGATTCAACGAACCAATCAAAAAACAGTTTATAAACCAGTCTTAGACTCATTGTTTACTGTCACAACAATATGTCGGCTTGTCCGCTCGATTATGAGAAAGTTTCTGAAAGTTAGCAAGACATTTAATGTAAAAGAAGTGACATGCACACAAACAGATGTCATAAAACATCTTTTTGATGGGAAAGATGTTTTTATGTCAGTCAAAACAGGCAGTGACAAGTCGTTATGTTACCAAGCGCATCATCCTGTTATTGGTCGATTAAAATAGCACAATCATTCAGTGCAGATAATTTGAATACTGTCTCCCCCATGGATGAACCCAGGGGTTAGTGACGTGAATTGGAATGAGACCACTGAGGATAGTGATGATGAATTGAACCATGTTAGGACTGATATTCCTTTTTGAGATTGTGTTTTGCAAGGAATTCCTCGATTCCGTTTGGTGATCAGTGACTTTAAATGATTTATTGAATGTAAAGATATTGTATTATTTGTTTTGTGGACAGGTGGTAATTGTTATATTATATGTTTAGTGGATGGGTGGTAATTGTTATATTATTTGTTTAGTGGACGGGTGGTAATTGTTATATTATTTGTTTAGTGGACAGGTGTTAATTGTTATATATTATATGTTTAGTGGACGGGTGGTAATTGTTATATTATTTGTTTAGTGGACAGGTGGTAATTGTTATCTACGTTATGATGATACAAATCCAGAAAAAGAAGAAGAAAGATTTTTCACTGGAATAAAAGATATGGTTGAATGGCTAGGTATGAAATATAATGATATTCAATTACAGTTATTTTATTTGTCAGTGGTATTCTGTATGTTTTATACAGGGGATGGGGAGCTACGGCGGCTCAGTGAGTAAGACGTTGGCTTGCTAACCTGGAGGTCCCTGTTCGATTTCTAGCGTGGTTCCCCCTTGGCAGTGGTGCAGGATAGATGGCCTAGCAAGAGACAACATATAGTCGGTCTGGTGTACCCATTGGCGTGTATGTAAAAGAACCCTTGACAGTTGGAATTAAATTGAAGACTTGTTCATATTGCCGCTGTCCAGGCAAAATTTCTGTCATAGCACACCGCATGGCATATGTCGTTCATCACTAGTCCAGTCGGAGCACAACAGTAGGACATTAAAACCCTATTTCATTTCATGTCATTTCAAACACCACAATAAATTATAGAGGGTGTACATGACATCACTCACAGAACAATAACTTCCCGTCTTCATTAGCCCAGTTCGGAGCAAAACAGTAGGACGTTAAACTCCATTTCATTTCAGAACAATAATTAGAAATTGTCAATTATTAAATTTATTGAAATATATATTTTTACTTGTTTAGGTTATAAACCATTTAAGGTGACCCATGCATCAGATAATTTTGATCAGTTGTATGAATATGCCGTAGAGTTGATTAGAAGAGGTCATGCCTATATATGTCATCAGACAGCTGAAGAAGTCAAAGGTCATAATAATCCTGATTCACCATGGAGAAATCGACCAATTGAAGAATCTCTAAAATTATTTGAAGTATGTGTATTTAATATATAAAAACTTGCATAGAAATAATCGATTCTAACGAATACAAATACAACTATGTCTATATAGGTGGGCTGGAAATACCTAAAAAATGCACTTTGCTACGTATTTGTCTTGTCTGAAATTGTTATCGTTTATGGTCGACTGTTTTTTGAAAAATGTGATTGATCTGTTTATAGGATATGAGAAAAGGAAAGATTGACGAAGGAAAGGCAACTCTAAGAATGAAAACTATTTTAGAAGAAGGAAAGAAAGACCCAGTTGCTTATAGAATTAAATTTACTCCACATCATAGAACTGGGGATAAATGGTAAATATATCATTTTTTAAAAAAAAAAACCATCACACTTGATTGACTGTCAATAACAAAACTATACACAAACAGTTGCAGGTTGGTTCGATGATTTTGAGGGAGCCACAGTGACTCAGTGAAGCAGGTGCTAGTTCACTTATGAGTAGGAGGGCCCTGGTTGAATCCCTGCATTGGCCAAGAAGGTTTCTTGGGATTTTCCTGCCATATTTCCTCAGTGTTGCTGGTTAGATGCAATGAAAAGTTGAGGACATAAAAGCAGCCTTGACAGTAGTTTATTTCTATGATCTTGAAGATTTATAGACATTGATAGCAATGGCCAACATTGGCAGATATATGTTTGGCTGTTATTTCTTTATTTAACTGTCAGTAGTTTATTTTAGTAATGTGATCTAGTTTCGATAATTTACCCTATAAATCACTGGTGGGCAAAGGTTATAGGTGAAGGGTCAAACACAAAGTTTTGAAACAACGCAAGGGCCAAATAAGGATTATGAAATGTCATTTTATTGAAAAAAGTAATACGGAACAAAGCACTTTTTATGCACTTTTTTATTCGGCTCCATATAGTTGTATTCAGAGAGAAATCAAAGCATGTCAACAAATCAAACAATAACATTGATTCCCTGTTACATTTATTTCAGGCGTATTGTTTGTGTAATATGATGGTTATATATTTCAGGTGTATATATCCAACTTATGATTTTACACATTGTTTATGTGACTCTATAGAAAATATTACTCATTCTCTTTGTACAAAAGAATTCCAGTCAAGGTAGGATTTTTTTTTTTAACTGTTTGTGTTAATTTTCTTTTGCTATGTGTATATGGTTCATGACTATCCCAATAACTGTGGCCAAGTTTTTCAAAGTGTTACAATCGACTTGGAGGATAATGTCTCATGATTTAATCTGTCATGTTCTACTAAAGCAGTGGCTATGAGCATTAGCACTCATTTACCACTTCTAGATTTAATACCAATTGTGAATAGTTGTTTTCATTGGTCTGCCACGTTCACTTGTCGTCTAATCAAAATAGTCACAGGTGTCCATTAATAAGCTTTTCGGAGAGGAATAATAAAGCAGAGATATTGCGAGTTGAAATGTGAGTTTCAAGATTTTGCTTCACTATGATCTTAAAACTTAACCAGTTTCAAACTTGTAACAATTTTCCACAGAGTCTGCAGTGACAAATAGTTTAGATCAGCTGTGGACAACATGTTACACAATTCTAGGAGTTATAATGAATGTTTATTACTTAGCGACTTTTCATCTAGGATTATTTATTCTGTCACTTAGTTAATAAAAGGTAATAACACAATTCCATAAATCTCATTGAAACGGTCCCCCTGTCTTGTGTTTTTAATTTCCAAATTGTAAGCACTACATTTGATGTGATCATTTAATTTCAGGCGTTCTTCCTATTACTGGTTGTGTAATGCTTTAGACATATACTGTCCAGTACAGTGGGAATATGGTCGGTTAAATCTGAATTATGCTGTTGTATCAAAACGAAAAATTGGAAAATTAATCACTGAAGGATTTGTAAGGTAAGTTCATGAATTAACCAATATTTGATTATTGACAATTAAATAAATCCACATCTGATGCATTTTATAAATTGTTACTAATTGTTATTATTGAAATTTAAGCAAAAAAATTAAAAGAAAAATAGTTGTGATATATTTTTCTGCTCTAAATTTTATTTGAACTTATTTACAATCCATTTAAACATTTTGATTGAAATTGTCCACAAAAAGACTGTGCCGTTCTTCATACCATAAATTTTTTATATTTTTTGTAGAGATTGGGATGATCCTCGTTTATTTACATTAACTGCTTTAAGAAGAAGGGGATTCCCATCAGAAGCCATTAACTTATTCTGTGCTAAAGTAAGATTTACAATACATTTTAAAGTTGTCGATCCCTATCATGATTTTTTTTCATACAATGTCTAATTTTTCACGGCTTAATCTGTCATAGAATGTACTCAAATTGACTATTTATCATTTAAGTAAGAAAACAAAAGCCAAATATCAACTATCCTGACTTGGATTTAATTGGATTAATGGATTAAAAAGTGTTACCCAACACTCATAGGTGTCGCTCACTTGCTCATATTGTCTACAGAGGATACCGAATGTTTAATTTATCACATCTTTGTAAATACTACATGAAATTAAACCATCTCTCAGTATTGTGATTTACAAGGGATTCAAAATCCCTTAAATGCCGATCTGCAGGACCCGACATACTGTTTGCTCATTTTATAATATTTTATGTATATTAGGTCGGTGTTACAGTGTATAATATTTTATTATATTAGGTCGGTGTTACAATGTATAATATTTTATGTACATCAGGTTGGTGTTACAATGGCTCAGACAGTTATAGATCCATCCTTGTTAGAATCATGTATCAGAGATGTTTTAAATGTCACAGCTCCCAGGTTCGTATTATTAATAATAACAGTCTGATTATAATACAGATCTATATTTCGTTTCGGTTTTTTATACTTTTGATGGCCTCTACTACATGAAGATCTGACCAGTTGTAATGGGAGGTTGCGTCAGAGATCATACGGGTGGCTTTTGAACCTATGACGTTAGACATTTGATTAACCAATCAGAGTTTATGTTTCTAGTGGGTTACCATTTCATTGGCTAATCCCTAACATTATCCAGATCCTGGGATATATAACAACTCTTCCAGATCCTAGTGTAGTAAAGACAAGTAAAACGAAATTTTGAACTATAAAAACGAAACGAAATAGGATCTGTGGTTTAATCACATTGTAATAATAATAATGAACTATAACACATATTTGAGGAAGAACAAATAGTAATTTATTTGGACAACTTTACGACATTGCTTCAAAATGTTGAAAGCATACATAGTCAGGGTTTGGCTATTTCAGTCTGAATTGTCATAATTAGAATTATCATTCTTTCAGATAAAAATAGAAAAATAATTTGATAACAGATGACCTAATCATTCTTGAGGGATCTTGTCTTTTAAGAGAGTATAGTTACAAATAGATTTTTCTCTTCATTATTTGCTACCTTTATGTATAAATATATTGACCACGTTTATTTTGTTTTTAGAGCCATGGCTGTGTTTGACCCTTTGAAGGTCACTATATCTAATTTCCCAACGAATGCTCCTTGTGAAGTCAATGTTCCAAATTTCCCAGCAGATGAGAAAAAAGGTTTTCATAAAGTTCCTTTCCGGAAAGTAATATATATCGAACAGTCTGATTTTAGAGAGGTAGGTTTATATTTGTTGTTCTTGTTTTATCTATTGGGGAGTGGGCTGTTGTGATCAAGCGGTCAGGATACCGGACGCTTGACTATAGTGTCTTGGCATAATATTGTATCCATGCAATAACAGTGTTAATAATCGTGAAACGAAAAATCTTATTGATTTGCAACAATTTCCCATTATCACTATTGGAGTTATGGCCCATGATCAATTTGAAATCTAAGGGGTAAAGTTATCTGATTAGTTTGAAACTTGATTAGTGTTAAAAGTTCATAAGATGAAGAAACCTATTGATTTTATACTCAATTTTCTGTTGAACAGTTTCTGATAACTCGACCAGCAAAAGTTAACATCTGATTACTGGTACATGTTTTGTTTATGTTAGCTCTGTAAAGAACTAGAAGCCTATTTAATTATTTCTGATAATTTCTTC